TGCGTGACATATTTAAGTGCGCGCGCGCGCGCGCGCGAGCCCCTCGACGAATCGCAGCGAGAGGCCGACTAACCGGTTCATATTTCACGATTTTTATAATGCAGCTTTAGAAAAGACCGCAATGCACCGTAATTTAGCGACGTGTAGAGCGCGGGACGAAAGATATGGGATTTTTCAAAACGTCGTTGAAGAGAGAGATTCTACATTCGGTGTGTAACAAGATAATAATTAATTCAAATAACAAGTGAACACTATTATTGATACAGCAAACAACTTGTGAATAGCTCACTGATAATGTAATCTCAATGGTCTCTCGTAAGAGAAAATAACTTTATGTGAAGAATAAAAAATCAACATTTTCCCCGGCGATAGAATATCTATAAGATTTGCATACGTTTCACGCGTACTACAGATAATAAAATCCACTAATTAGTGCACTCGATGCACTCTGTACGGTTTACGTAACCGGTTGGCGGAGTGGTCAAAGCAATTGAGAAATGTTATCCCAATGCATATCTAACGGTCCACTGAGGAATAGCCTTAACGAATCAATCGGCGAAAAGAGACAAAGAGAAAAAGATGAATAAAGGAAAAAGGAAAGAGAGAGAGAGAGAGAGAGAGAAAGAGAGAGCACGAGGATCAAGAGATTGAGGACTCGATCTTTGCGGGATCGATGCTAATTTCTGAGGTCGTGCGCTGACCAGCTCGCGATTGGTTTACACGAGTGGCGGCTTCTTTTGTTCCCTCTTGGCCCAAGTACCCGCCGATATATGTGGAGCAACCTGGCGACGATCGTGATATGTCAGACGGCACCCACGCTCCTGCGACTTGAGGCTCGCCGTGCCACTTTTGCCCGTTACCCTTTCCGGCCCTGACCCGACTTGTCTTGTCGTCACTTCGTTCTAAATCTCCTTATTATCCTTCAGCGCGCTTGTCTGCTCGCGCAAATCCAAACTTTTTTCCGTTGCCGTTGCAGAACAGAATTATTTTTATTTTTGCGCTAATAAAACGAACCGAATTGTTTTCAGAGTTCAATTTTGCAAATGCGATCACTTATTAAAATACAAACCAAATACTACAGTATATAAAAACTCAAGATAGAATTTAAAAAATATAAAAAAATAAAATACACGACATTTCAAATATTCTCTATATCTTCTTAATTATCTCTTTGTATCAAAAAAAAAAAGAAAATGAGGATGCAAGATAAGAAATGAGATTGGAAAACTTGTGTGTTTTTTCTTTTACTTAATGAAACTAATTGCTACCTTTTACGAATGTTGACATCACTGTCGCATATATATGCGCGAGCAGCACTATTATTTTAATCCCCTTCTCCTTTGAAAAGAAGGCGCGATGGCTGACGATTGCATTCGCCATCCGCTACGATTTCTCCCACTACGAGCGCGCTCTCTGTCCTCCTACTCTGATTCCTGTTGGGCCACCTCTTCCTGAAAAGTGTACCATCGCCGACTATTGGGTGTAACTGAAATCGAGGCTACCGGGATTGGACGGTTCGCAACGCTCGCCTAGGAATGCCGCGACCTCGTGCAACGAATACAGCGCCCGCGCGACACACGTGAGGATGCAGATTAATGTAATCTTCGTAAGCCTTCCCTCCTCTCCTCTCTCTCTCTCTTACCCTCCCACACACATATATACATACGCATTATCGAGCTTCGATCGGCAATGATCACGCCTCCGCGCGCCACGTGAAGGATTTATGTTAATTTTCATCAACCTTCGCTGAAATTAACCGTTTTACGTAACGCGCTTAGATTCTTTTATTTATTCCAATATATCGTCGCGATGAGGAAAAAAGCACTGCTCCGTTCGATCTGCTCGATAATGTTGCTCCCTGTAGCGATCAGGCCGCGGAACACTTTTCGAGATAACGAAGAAGTATTGGCGTCCGAGCCGACGGGCATGCACATTCGGATCAATAGGAACGGACGAGATTGATGAGGAGAAAAGGTGGAGGAGTCAGTTAAAGCGACAGGAGAAAGACGACGCGCGAGACAACCGCAAAAAAGATCGACAAATAGAATGTCGGCTAATTTGCTGTCGGATCTGAATTTGAAATTTTGTGCGCGTTATTATCTCGGCGCGTGTCAAAGCACGTGTTGCCAATCGAGAAAAAACACATATATTATCTGTTCTAAAGAAAGATAAAAACTTTACTTTATTACATCGTAAAATATAAGAAACTCTAAAACTTCAATGAATAATTTGTCGATTAATCTGCAATTAACTTTTGTTTTACTCGTTGTCAGGAAGTTGCAAAATGTACGAAATGTAAAATTGCATCAAGCGCGATTTTCTGCCGATCGAACAGAAAAAAAACCTACAAGGAAGTATCTATAGGTATTACACGGATCGAATACCGTATTAACAATTCCGCGCTATATTTTACACACCGCCAGATAAAACTATTTTGCACACGTGAAATCCAGACGTCGATTCAACGGTGCCGTCCGTGCTGAGTGTCACGAAACGTGAAACAGAGCACAAAAAGAACAATCCACGATGTGGATGAGAAGGGCACACAAGGAAACCGAGTTTACGAGATGATTGTCCTACGGGCCCTATTCATTCGGCGCGGAATCGCCAAGCGGATCTCTATTGTAGATTATTGCGCCATTGTCCATTGTCGCAATCCGCCACACAACTGGCCTTCTTAGATCCCTCTCTTTGACACAGGAGAAAAAAGTTCAATGAGAACGAAGACGGGGGGCGGCATCTCGGATTGAAGTGCTCGAAATATACTTCGGGGGATTGTCGAGTGCGAAAAATACCGAATGTTAACATATATGTACATGAAATTATCAGAACTTCCTCAATCGAGCGCAAGTTTCAACATAAAAATTTAAAAATTTACCGAGAGTGAATAGATAGAAAGAGATTTTTTTATTGAGATCGCATCTTGATTTCAATTAGTACATAGTACAAGTACATTTTCACTTCGAATACAAAGTTATGACGAAATTAACGGCAATTAGCGGGAATAAGAGGTGTATCACGTGCCCTCCCATGTTAAGCGATCCGTTAAGAAGAGGTGGAAGGTGTGCAGCTTGCACGCAACGCACGGGCGAAGGAAGTTTTATGTCGCTTGCGAATGGGACGAACACATCGATGGGAATCGAATGATGCGGAACCAGGCACCTGCGTGGGTACAGGCAATTACGTATGAATAACTTCGACGAAAAAGCAGCCGCACGATCGCACGCCCTCCCGATCTTATCGCGCACGCAGTGTCGCGCGCATTGCCGAGAAGGTGTACGCACGACGGCGCTAAGGCTCGGTATGACAGTGCAATTATCAATAATTGAGAAATTTTTTTTCGTACGTAATTCAATATAACGAGCCGGCGCGCTCATTAATTTGATATTACGAGCGCTGTCTCCGAACTCCCGTTATTACACATCGCCGCATAAGACCATTAGCCTCTTTTCGCGACATACAATTTATAGTTTTTCTTTTTCTTTTTAACTGATTCCGCGAAAAGTTTCGAAGACGCATAATTCAGGTCGAATATACGTTCCAACAAGTTGACCTAAATCATTCGAAGTTTGTGAGTTATCAAACGCGTGTGTAGAAGATATTAAAATTGCACATATTTTCTGCGTAAATTAATTCTACAATTTTCTGAATATTCAAACATTAATGCGTAATTACATTTAATTAACGATTCGAGTTTAGTTAAAAAAGCCTGAACAGTTATATATAAATATATATATAACTTATATAAATAATATAATACTGACCATTTATATATAAATAATATTGACATAAGAAAGCAATATAGTAAAAAAAGAAATACAGTTTTGTGTGTATTGCTTTCGATCGTCGAAATTAATTTGGATCGTAAAGAATTAAGTGAAGGAAGATCATAACGGTGATACAATCCGCGTGTCTCGCTCACGATCCACGAAACACACACACATACCCACGGTAATTCGAGAAACATAACTCAAGTCCTGACGGACCGCTGAATCACGAGCGCCGGTTTCTCGAGTGGCGTATATCGCATCGTGGCGGCGTGTCGGCTTCTCTTTTGCTACTTTACTCGCCCTTTTTTTTTCTTATCCTCTGCTGCTCATTCGTTCCCCCCTCGACTCGTCAACCTTCCGGCCGCCTCGGTACACCTTCGCCCGAGTGTGACTTTTCGCCGCCGCGCGCGTATTACTCTCTCCCTATGGCTCGTGTGAAATGACCTTTACGGGATTGAATTGCTGCGCACGATAATTGGACAACGTTCTGTCTTCGCCGTATATAATGACACGGCTGATAATTAAAGTCTCTTGATGCTGGCAAACTTCGAACTAATATCTTGTTCATCGAAAACTGTTAGCCCTTCGTGGACAGACCTCAAAAATGATTTATTTACTAGTTGAAGAAACTGTGAGATCTAGGCAACTTTAAAAATATCTTTGCTTTAAAAAATTAATCAATATTTTTTTAATTTTGTTTTTTTGAATCAAAAGTTTGAACGATTCTGCGTGATAAAAAAAATAACTTGAAAAAATTTCTAGTTTCAAAGATATAAGTAAGCGTTTAAAAAAACCTACTTTTTATACTAAATTGCAATTTTTGAGTGGGTTTAGGAGACCCATGTCTGTCCGCGAAAAGTTAATATACATATATATAGTAATATCAACAATGAAACGTGATATATATACGTTTGAGAAGAGCTTGCTTAGGATAATATATTGTTGCTTTATTTTCAGATAACATTATATATGGAAAAATATATATGTGTAAAGAGATATTATATGTATATGTAAAACCAACATCTGAACACGACCGAAGCATGCAAAAAGAAGTAGAATTTCACCAAGCTTCTCTCCTTCCACTGTATTGTGTTTTAAGTACATACTGTGTTATATCTTCAGTGAAACACAATACGCCATTACATTTTCATACAGTGAAAAACACACGAAGAACAAGTTGGCGAATTTACGCAGCAAAAGTCAGAAAACTACATCGAATTACGTACCTACCTTATCAAGCCGGTCTCTTTGTGCTTGCCGATAAGAAACGTCAGCATACCGTCGGTCATCTGATTAGCCCACGGTGGTTTCACCCAGATCAGATTTTTCAAATGACCCGCGTACGCTGCCGGTAAAATCCAATTTTCGATGCTGATCTCACTAAAAAGACATTCAGTGTAACATTTTGCGATGAAATTAAATATACGTATGAAATGCAAAAGTATATGAGAAAGCATTTTTTTTCTACCTGAACAATTTATTCTTATCCCAAACCGTGTCGGCGGGCATATCTTTGGGTATCAACATATCAGGATGCGAATCCAGATGTATGAAGGTGTTGCCTTCGAACGGCAGATGCTTCGATCCCACACACCGATATATGAACGGCAATACCTGAGAATACAGTAAGCATCAGCACTTGCATCGCGCGCAGAATGTCTCAAAACTATCGGAAAATGTTCTAAAGATTTTTTGATTTTCTTAAAACAAAAATATTCTTACACCATGGTTTTAATAAAAAACAATGATAAGCATGTAGAGATCAGTATTTCAAAGCGCGCGCTGTGCCTCTATCGTCGCGACATCTAGTGGGACAACAGTGACATAGCGAACACATCGTGTCCGGTTCGGTGCGCCGCGCGTTCGAATATGCTCACCTCATCGTGATCCTCAACCACATAGATTGGCGTTCTCTTGAAGTACTTGCGTACGAACGACATGTTTCGCAGATGTATACGGCAAAGTATTTGATCGCGAAATTATATTATACAACGCGTACCTATAAGATCGCGCCGAACCGACGAGACGCGACCGCGATAATTAGCTCCGCGAGACGCAATAAAATAAAATAAAATGGACACTCGGAATCGCAAGCACGCGACGCACTGCTTCACGCGTAAGCACGTGGTCATCGACTGAAGTTTGTCCTTTTAGGCGCGCGCCTCGAACGATCATTTCACGAATAAAAGGGACAAGGGCATCGCATAGGGGTTTACGCCGAATTTCTCACGAGACGAGTTTCGTAAGGTGGTTCTCGTTTTTTTTTCTCTCTTTTTCTCTCTCTCGTATTTTAGCCTGGGTTCCCTCCGAGGACAAGGACGCCTCGGAAACTTGATCTCTCTAACTCGCAGCCGGCAAACGGCGGACGAATATATCGTCAAGTATCATTCGATAACTTGGCTTGAATCAATTTTAATTTTCCCCGTAGCGGGTCACAAGCCGTAGACTCGCTTGAAGTCGAGTCGATTTTCAATGAGGCAACGGTCGACTCAAATGTATGCAATCAAAAAATAAAATTTTTATACTTACATATTCTTCCCAAATGTCATAATTTATCAATTTCCCTAAAAATGTTTTTTGCGTAATTACTAAATTATTATTAAATAACATTTAAAAAATACATATAAGACTCAAAGAGTCAAGTTATATTTCTGCTTATTATTTATTACTTGGCTTACAAAATTATTATTGTTATAATTTAATATATGTTAACTATTTAATATTAGGTGATTGATGAAAAAAATTATACAAGATTCGATCGCGAAAGAGCAATCCAATTACATAACTGCAGGTAGCGTCGAATCGGTAGGAAAAGGTCACCTACGGCACACAGTTATGTCTCGTCGATGCGTTAAGTATCGGTAATGTGCGACCTTTCACTATCGATTGATTCACATGTCATTTTGTTGTTGCCCCGCTTTAATCATAAACACATCGTGAGAAAAGTCCAACAAAAATGCGATCCTTCATCCGTGCGCAAATTTCGTAGTTCCAACAAGATAATCACTAACTGTACCGAGGCCAATTCTCAAACATTTGTGACTGATAGATCTGAAGATGCAACCGCTCTGTTTGAGTTCTCAAAGACGATAGAAATTTCTCAATATCCGCCTCGTGAACTTTATCCGTTTCGCTCTCGTCTATCCTCGGAACTTTTGAAGTTTTAGAACGACGTTTGGTTTTGGGTGCCGTATGTTGCGATGTACGATTGGACTGTGACGTTTCGCTTTCATTTGCGGATGAAACTTGGATCCAAGTAGGCATGTACGAGTTCTGATTAAAATAATCATCAATCTGACTAGATGGGCACGCTCCCTCTTCTGTGATCGAATAGTAGCTTAAATTGTGTGAAGTTTGTAAAGAAGAGCTTGGCACTGTTGAAGTTATCGGAGCGCTTCTCTTCGTATTTGCGGTTACACGTACGTCTGATTGTGCTCTCGAGTATTTTGCAGATGTAGTTGAGTTATTTGCAGTGGCTTTGGATTTCGAATTGTTTTTAAGAGATTTCACAGGTTTACTATATTTCCTATGCCACTCCTCCATACTGTTGTAAACAACGTTATTTGTCTGTACAGGTTTAAAACTAGTTGGAACTTCTATTTTGAAAAATGCATTTTTTTTGTTATCCTTTCTGCAGCTATTTCTAGACGTTACCTCTTGCTGATTGTTAAATATAGTTTTATTAGCAATCGGGTTTATAATATTCTCCATTTCGGGAAATACAAAGGACGACTCGCTCGGCGTACTTATATGTTCATCATCTCCTTCGTCCTCTTGTCTATTCGCGTAAACCTTTTTAATACTGTTTGAATCTTCTTTGTTTAAAAGGTTTTCATTATTTTGATTTTCAATTAAGATTGTATTGAGATCAGGAGTGTTGCAGTTCGTATTTTCTATCTTGTCTTGATAGACTGTAATTTCATCGGAAGAAATCTCGCTTACTTCGTCCTTTTTTGAATTCTTTTCATCGGCTATATGTGTTTCCGGCACAGCATCCGTTAATTTGTTCTTACGGTTCCTTTTCGTTGCTTCCTCAATAAGAAGTGCCTTCATATTCGAAAAAGACAACTTTTCATCTTTTATCTTCTGAATTAAATCGCGTCTTTCGCTTTCACTCAAAAATGCTATGTAATCTATAATTTCCCGTAATTTCTCGCTAGGATCCTGATACGTGCTCAAATGCTGCAGAGCTTTGCGGTATTCCTCGATCTCGGAATTCGACATCATTAAATTGGGCATACGCTCGTCGATACTTATAGGATACGGAAAGTACGCGTTAAATTTGGTTCCCATCTTAGAGAAGCGACTCTTGAAGTCTTCTATTTCCCTGTACATGTCTAACAGGTTGTTATCCGAATTGCACGCCGAATACGTATAAGTTTTTTGCACTTCCTCGTCGCTGCGAAGTTGCGGAAAAATACATAAGAAAGCCCGTTTTTGTATATCGAGGAAAGTTTTCAAGGCAGAAAAATATTCTTCGTACGCTAATTTATGAACGGACTCGGTCATGCTCGTGTCATCTAATAAGCTGATTTCAAGATCAAGTTGTTCTTTCCAATTGGAAGCTATTTTCAGCAAAGATTCTTCATCATTTGTATGAGAGTCATTGCCAATTTCCTTCATTTCCTTGGCGTACATTACTAAGTAATCGTTTAATTCCTTCGACATTTTATTATCTTTGGAGTCCAATTTTTCCATAGACAATTCCAAACTGCATATTACATCTTCAGACGGTGTTTGTACAATAAGTTTCGAGTTGTCACTCGCACTAACAAACTCTGGCACAGAAGTTGATACATTACTTTCTTCTTTTTCACCGAGCAAAGGCGCCTTTACGCATTGAATAATATTTTCTATTTCGACATTTGACAGTTTACGATCGTTTATACACGAGAGATCCACATCGAACGTAATATCTTCATTCAATTTTTTCATAGGGAAAGACTCATCCGTACGATTAGTGGAAGTAGCTTCGGACAAGTCTGTAGGTATGTTTTTATCTCTCTCGCAAGTATCAGCAGATTTGTTTCTAATTTTTTCTTTAACAAAACATTCAAGTAACGAACTAATCTTTATCTTTTTATCTACATTAGTTATTTTTCTATCTTTCTTGTTATTCCTTATGTGAGTCATACTGTCTGATGATGAGTCATTTTCCATGATAGTAAAATTCATATTCCTCAATGATGACGTGCGATTGCTTATCAAAGCCTTTGGCAACATATTCGCGCATTCGCTATTACTCGTGATGTTATTGGTTACGTTACTTTCTGATGATGACGCGCTTTCGCTCACGCAGTGACACACGTTATGTTTTGCAATGGAAGCTTCGGCAATATTATTATCGGATACTGTATCACTGATTAATTCTGAAACAGGTATTGTCATAGGTGCGCCGTGTTTAGATTCAAGAACCGTTTTATCGATATCCGAAAGCTTGTTATTGTTGCTTGTCTCGGACGTATCTCTCGAATAAACTTTTTCAAACATCTCAGTATCGTTAGCCCAAACATCACTTTCGTAATTATTGAGTTTGAATACATAAAAGTTTGGTCCACCAATTGAAGTTAACAATTGTTTGAACAATGACAGTTCCCTTTTGGAAACAATAGTAAAAGAGACCCCATGAGAACCATAGCGTCCGGCTCTGCCGATTCTATGTAGATATGTCGTCGCATCTATAGGTAAATCTAAGTTCACGACCATGTTGATATTTTCTACATCTATACCCCTTGCGGTCAAGTCTGTGGTCAGCATAATTCTACATTCGAAGTTCCTCAATTTCTCAATTGCTTCCAATCGTTTATTCATGTCTTGATGTGCAGAAATGTATGAAGATGAAAATCCCATAGAGTTAATGTTATTGCTTACTGACTGAGCTCTGCAATACAACGAAATTTTAAGAATGAGAATAGTATTGAATCACTCAAAAGTAAAAACTAATAAATTAAAAGAATTATATACCGTGACTGATAATTTGAAAAGACCAAGCACTGTTTAAATGCAATATTAGTAAATATTTTCACCAGCTCATCCATCTTTATTTTTACCTAAAAATAGATTCAAACATAGATTAATACAAATAATCCATTTATTAATTAAAATCTAGTTTCTTTTCTAAAAATAAGAACCTGTTTCATGGCATTAGGATGTTCAGAAACAACAATTACAAATTGTTTGATCCCTAACAAGATCGGTCCATCAAGATCGGGCGATGTTAACACTGGTGAGGACATGTATGTTTTTAAAAATGTTTCCAAATCTCCTGGATAAGTAGCGCTTGAGGCTATAATTTGTTTATTGGTTGGTAGTTTAGAAAATATAAAACTACAATTTAAAAACAAAACAAATTATTAACTCGATACAGTTCAGATGTAAAGTCAAATTACTGACAAAAAAAATGTGACAGATTAACTTTCAGTATTGACTGTACACACTAACTTAATATCTCTCTGAAAATTTATTTCCATTAACTTATCCGCTTCATCAAGAACGAATAATCTGACTGTCGAAACTTTGAGAAATCTTTTTTCAATTAAATGCCTAATTCTGCCCGGAGCACCAACAGCTATATGACATGCATTCAACTTTCTCTTGTCCTCTTCTACTGATATTCCACCAACAAAATATTCAACTTTCAATCCTAAAGTAATAAAGATTGTATATATTAACCAAAATAAATACTAATATATCTGACATATGTAAAACAACCATTTATTGACTGAATATACCTTCTATTTTTGAACCTATTGTCTTAATAACCTCAGATATTTGAATAGCAATCTCTCTAGTAGGTGCTATTATTAACACTTGTGGAGATGATATATGAGTGTTTATCATTTCAAGTGCTATTATACCAAATACCACAGTCTTTCCAGTTCCTGATTTGGCACGTACTATTAAATCTGAAAATCATTAAAATAATTTTGGTGTTTGTAAATATTGTTACGATTTCATCTTAAAACAAAGTCTTTATAACAGCAAGTTCGTTAAACGTGTTGTATTATATATAAATGTGAATACCAAACCCAATACGGCCCAGGGGAATAGCTTTTAACTGTATGGGAGATGGTAGCTGAAATCCAGCAGTGATCAACCCATCCGAGATCTTTTGCGAAAGGCCCATTTGACAAAACGTGACATTTTCTTGTATTTTTATATCTCGCGTTCGTTGTTTCTTGCTTAAGTCATGTGCGGTGTAGAGAGCCATTTCTCTGGACAAATCTATTATAAAAATACGCAACTACGCACAACAGAATGCGCGTACTTAAGTGATTAGTAATATCGTTCAATATACTTACTTATTAGAATTGAACTTTACAAAGATAATTAATAAATTGTTGTTTACAATCACTCATCAGCCGGTTCGTATCTTGAAACGCAAATGATAGTTTTTGATCGACCAGTATCAATGTCCACGTGACTTCTGTGTACAACATTTAAGTCCCATGTTACAAACATCTAGGCTACGTTTCGAAGTACGCGTTCCAGTAGTAAAAATCTATACTTCACGTCACATGTGCTATAGATTTCTAGCACTGGCAGTGAATATTGTGAACGTAGCCCTAGTAACTTTAGATCCCGTAAAGGCGTATACATATTGACCAACTAGCATTGGTCGATCAGACAAATTGTTCGAATGCGATTGGTCATTGTTTCTCTTTTCGTTCGAGATCGCGGATCAATTTTTTGACATCATGGATACAAGACTTTAGTTTTGTCTTCAATCTGTGATGATGATGCGTTTACATTTGTATCTACAGTAGGTTACGCTGCGCTCTTTGAGAAATGACGTTTGGTTTGTTGCTTGTAAATATATCGGTCATTGCGAAGTGATCCGCCGAGGAGGTGTTCTTCGTGAACGTCGCGATTGTCGCGTCGTAGACTAGATACGACCGTGAACCTCGTAACACTCCGTGATCATCCGCGCGCACTCGTCGAGGCCACTTGATCCGCGCTGAGAACCAAGTCCATCGAGCAAACGTGCGGAATGAGGTTATGACGTGTGAGACGATCTGAAATCGATGTGTTGTCCGTAAATTGACTGTGCAGCCGATGTTTATCGTGTGATCGTTTTCCCCGGGTGCAGCGAAGGTAAAGTCACGCGCGGGTGTCCGGTGCGGTGCCGCACGCCTCTCGACACCGCGCCGCGACGCCGTCGCCGCCACCGCACGTTCTCGCGATCTGTCGAAATCTAACCTCTTCTCTTCACCCGTCTGTTCTCTCTTTCGCATTGTCGTAATGCGCGCTTTCGTTTATTTTCGAGCACCGCGAAATCCGATTCTCTCTATCGTATTGTCAACATCTTTTTCTGTAAATCGCCGATGTGTTTTCGCGTGAATTGATCCAACGCGAAAATTTCGCTTGTTTATCCACTTTACACCCACTGATATTCTGTCATGTCAGTCGTGGATGAGAGAGACATCAAATTAGCCTCGTCGAGTACGCACGTATCACGGCGGGATTTCTCGAGTTTTGCGATATTCCTGTGAAAGTAAATCTCACGACAATCGTAATTTTGATGTGATTACATATTGATAGTAGAGTTGCGAATTGATTGTGTTGGTAGCTATTTCCAATTGTGTGCGTCTGTCTCTCTCTTTCTCTCTCTCTATCTTTTTCTTTTTCTTTGAGTTATGGGAAATCGAGTTTTAGAAAATGTCTCTTTTTTGTGATATGATGACTGATGTTTTTGCAATCTGTAAAAATGTCTTGATATATTCTTTACACATGTGTATATATATGTATATGATTATTAATTATATAAATCATCATCATATAAAGTCTGTCTTGAAAAAATATGGTAAGTTGATCTGATTTGCAAAGAGATGTGTATTTTTTTTAATGATAGAGTAATATTTGTGAAGTTATATTTGTTTTACATTATTTTATAAAAACTCTCTGCAACAGAAAAACAATTTATTAAAAAATTTGATATAAGTAATTGATATTTAATTGTAATATATATATTTATGTTTATTATATGATACTCTTATGATACACTGTGTGTGTGTATGTGTGTGTGTGTGTGTAGATGCACAGAATTTTAAACATATAAAATTACAAATGTTAATTGAAAGAAGGAAATAAAAAGTATGCAAAAACAATGTTAATTTTCTAAAAGTTAGTAAAAATATAGTTTTATTTTTTCCCTAAAAAAATTAATATCTAATTTGTTATTAAATAAGATATTCATATATAATTACACATATTTCTTTACCAATCATGTTCATATGTATTTTTAATAAAAAAACAGTGTTTTAATTATATTTGTACTACTATTCATATATAATATTTAAAGGACTATAAGGTATATATGTATGAGATTTCAACAAACTTAAATTAATTATTCAAATTTAAAAGTTATCTTTGTACCACATGCACTATTGTATGTGTGTGTTTGTGTGAATTTATGTGATACAAGTTATATTTAATTATTATTTTGCACATACATCTATATTTAACTATGAACTTTATTTAAATTAATATTTTATTGGTAAATATTTTATTCCAATGTTTAAAAAAACTTTTTAACAGCAATTATAGTTTATGCAAACCACTATAAATATACTTGAAAAGCCAGTATCACATTTGAACATATTCTATATTTCAGAATATGAACAATTATTATTGCATCAGATATGATATTAAGTGGCATCAATAATCAGAAATTACAATGATTGGTACAGCCTGTACTTTGGAGGATGCGTATCAGCAGGCTCAGGTGCATATAACTAAATTTTGAAACTACAAAATAAATTCTAAATAACTAAATAACACACTGTCTTACGATTGCTAATGGCCATTTATGATATTCGTGTAGGAGATGATCAATCAAGCATGCAGACGCTGGAAAAATGCTCAAGCTCCAAATTCATTGGTCTTAACATCGGATAAATTGCAGAAAAAAGAATATGGTCATTCCAGGCACAGTATCCAATCTAAACTCACGAGACTCTATTTTGACGAACTTCATAAGGTTCCTTATGCAACCCCAGATTCAGTTCTGGTATGTCTACTTTTGGAGTGAGAATATTTCACACATATTTCGAGGAAAAGATAAAATATGATTTTTAAAAAATATTATACAGAACAACCTTGAGAATGAGTGTGATCTTTTGGGACGATTGGTGCAAAGAGAAGGATTACATACTTTAATTGTTAATCTCTATGCTGGTAATAAAGGATACTCATTAGCTGTAAGAAATAGGTAAACAGTTCGTTTTTGAGTGTTACTGATGTTCTTGAAATGAACTTGAATTGAACTCTCTAAGTAGCAAATATAGATTCTTTGTTTTAAATTGACTAATGATAAAACTTCTTTCTCACAGCGATAAGAGTAATCAATATGATAGAAATTCGTTAGAGAAACTCAATGAGACTCAAACCATGGGATATGAACAGGGTGAACTACTTTCCTGTATAGATAATGGTCAGTTGCCGGCTATGCTAGCCGAACAATTAGAATCCAATTATTCATATTTATTTTACGATGGCTGCATAATCGCTGAGGTTCGGGACTATCGAAAGACATTTACACACAACACTCATAACAGAGCAGTAGTTCATCATGTGCTTCTTAAACCCACAACACAGGTAAAATGTTTTTGCCAATCAAATGTAAGTATATTGATGCGAAGACAAATAGTAATAATCTGAGTGGTTTGAAAATTTGATCTTGAAACTTATTGCTTACGTACAGAGTGTGCTATCAGACGTGTCGACACTTACGAGTGATGGAGAATGGAGTCACGAAGAGAGATTAATGTTGGAATCACGTCTAGTGGCAGCTACTCAAGGACCTCTATGCTTAGATCCAAATCCTATTCCCACTTTAGCTAGTACAAAAATTAAACAGTCCAAGTCGTTGCTTACGGATCATCAACTTATGCGACAAGCCAAAAAGTTCTCTCAGGTAATACATATATAGTCAGATAAATATGTGTACACACATGCATAATTAATTTGATTGAAATAACCAAGTATAATAAACACTGTCCTCACATTAGGTCACAGCTAATCGCAAAAGAAAATTGGAACAATTGGCGCAGGAACAAAAAGTACAATCGATACAGGATATGCAAAAATCACGGTCGAAAAGAAGGGGATTAGCGACAAGCACTGCCTGCCCACCGCCTTCTCAGCCAAATGTTCCTCTGCTTCCACCGAAATCTGACGTTGATGTCCTAAGGTTTTTATAAGAACTAACTTTTCTTTCTACATTGTTCTTTTTTTGTCATTTGCAACATATATTTTATATTTGTTCGTTTTTTCACGACTTTTTTCTGAAAGATATTTCTTGCCGAATTCTAACTTAAAATTTTTATTAGATTTGCAAAAGCAGTCGAGCGATCAAAAACAGAAACACAAGACTGTTCGCCAAAAGTTATAGAAGAATATATATTAGAGCCTGCAGGAAGTCAGAATTGCATAAAGCTCTCGATCTTACAGAGACCCGCTACTTCCGAGTACCTTGGAGAGCTTTTCTATATCAAGAATCAAGACGGGGAGAAGAACGGTTCTTCTTGCCGGTACATTCTTATTGTCATTTTGTTACTGTAGAAGAGCTTTTGTGAAAGCTTTCACAAAGAGAACGATTGTACTAAAAAGCCGCATTGAAATTTTGTTTTTCAGGTTCTCATTAGGCTCTCACGCAGTGGCTGATCATTATTTTAAGCAATTCAAAGAAATCTTCACAAAGGAAGGTAGACAGAATGTTCACATAAAACACATTGTGCCGGGACAGGCTCCATGTATTGCGTATACGTCTACCTTGCAACGAGCGCACCAACAGGTTCTTCTTTGTCTTTGATATCACATTATTCACACAACTACTGTATTTTTTGCCTTTTCTTTGTTTTTTTTAACAATTTTCTCTTTAACAATATCAGGCACAGCAAGCAAAAGCTGCGGCTCAATTGGCGGCTCAACAGTTACAGCAAGCTCAATCTCAGCATGTAGCACAGCAGGTTCGTAAACTTGATTTTTTTTACATATTACGTTGCATATATACATGTATATTATATACACTAGAATATTACAATTTGATAACAAACGTGTAAAAATTTCCAGCAAGTCCGCGCGTCATTTCAGATACTATCTCGTGCTCAAGGCCAATTGAATACTTTGGCTGGCCAAGTAGCTTCGGTAAAGGCTATGGCAGAAGCCACCACTTCCGCACAAAATAATCTGTCATGCGTGGACTCCACGAATATGCCGCAAGTTATTTCGCAGAACACGGCGCTAAACGCGAGACAGTCATTAGCAAACGGAGATCCCAACGCCTCTACTTCTGTGCAAATTGATAATTCCACGATGGCGGTAGCGAACAATATCTGTAATGGTCCCGGTATCCTGGTCTTTCCACAAAAACCTGCTGCTATTGTTAATAATGCGGCATCTACCAATGTTCCGGTTTTGGTAAATTGTTTTATCATATTATTGCAACAAATATCGCGTTTAGAATGTAGTAAACAGTTTTATTTTAAAAACTTTAATTTTTTAAATTTAAAATTTGCAGCAAGCGCAATTGCAAGCCGGAACACAGAACTGTATAAGCGATAGCGGCAATCAAAACCAAAATGAGCCACCATTCAAGAAAGAATCAATAAGCAAGATTGCCACTTCCCTTATGAATTCTGCGGACGAGTTTGAACAACAAAAAATTGCAGGTTTGCTATTACTCTGTTACAGTGCAAGTTTTGTGATTTAAATATTTGTATTTACATGAGATCTTAACTTTTTCATTCTTTTAAAACTTTTGTGCTTGAAACCAATGTTTTGGTTCCACGCATAAATTTATATTTTACATACAGTGATTACAATATTAACATGAGTTTCGCACAAATTTCATAACTGTAAGATTTGTAATCGATATTGTCTTTTTATTTCAGCCAATGCTGCGGCCGCAGCTATGAATAACAGCGCGCAAGCTTCGAACAAGTCCAGTAACGCCGCAATTCTTAGTCTATTAAATAGCACTCCTGCGAATTTGGCTCAGCAGAAGGTTCAACCTCGGAGGATCTCACTCAATGCCGCTTCCATACCGCCTAGAGTTATTAGTCATGGCAACGTATCTAATACCACAGGCCCAGTATGATCACTATAAATAATATAATTTATTGCTGTTTTTTTACTTATAAAATGATATATAATGAATCTTTCTTTGACACATATGTAATTGATAAAATAATCAATATTTGACTTTCTTAGTATAAATGTATCTGTAAATTTTACTTATTCAATCATTCATGTTTTAGGTGCGAGTGAGCTTGAGCTCTGCTTTAAGTGAACAACTTGGTTGCAAACAACAACCGGTAAAAGCAACTGCTGTGAGATACACACGAGTTCAAGATCCCACGTCTAATCTTGCATCGTCAATGCCGGGACTTTCGGCTATGCTTGCTGGTAAAGTGAAAGATATTTCTAGAGTAATACCAGTGGTTAAAAGTAAGAAAACATTCAATCTATTTATTTGTAATCTAGATTAAAACTATTACTACTACTACTACTACTTTTTATTATTTCTGTATTACTCAGATGTTAGTTTTTGACAATTATATTAAAGAATTCACATATTCATTCATTATATTAAAGAAATTCACATATTTTAATAGTCTAAAAGTTACACAGTTGTTTTTAATTAAAATTCAGTATGATGTGTTATACTTTATTTCAAATAAGTACATTAATCTAATCACAATTAATTTTCTTCCTTTCTTGTCTCAACTATCTCTTCACTATAACTCATATTATGTCAAAAATTAATTATTGATTTGTGATTTGTTCTCCAATAGATACACCGTCGGCAGATAATCCGAAACCCGGGATAAATTCGGACTTGCAGTTACTCCAACGAATCAATGCGCCTTCCAGTCAAAGCAGTCAACTGGGGAATCTGATGACCAGCCCGTCGCCGACCAACGTGAATTTACAAAGTGTAAACCTCACTAGTCTGACGAATTCTTTCAACGCTTTGCAAAACGTTCAGGTTGTTTACGAGCAATGTTTACACAGTTATTCTCTATAGAAAACGACATAAATGAAAATGTGCTAATATAATACGTTCATTTTGCAACACAGGGCACGCAACTCATCACGATGTCTTTGAACGTGTCACAAACTACTGGCGGTACCGTTACACCGACCGGGGTTATTGTTTCTCTTCCAATATCGTCCGCCACAAATACCTGCACAACTGTCTCCAGCGTTAGTTTCAACTTATTTATAGAATATTTTCTAGCTAGATGCTTTTTATGGCATAATTATTACGTTATTTTAGATGGTTGCTGCGACTGTTGTTACGACAGCTATAGCTGGAAGTAGCACTCCGACAGTTGTGATCGCCAATCCTGCCAATGCTCATTTGTCTTTACCAATAGGTAAGATAGTAACGTTATAACGCTGTTTGCTGTTTTTTACGTTTGAGACTTCTGAATATTTGTAGCCATATTGACTTGTAATGTCAAAAGCGAGAAAATATATGCCAAAAATCCTCGCAATTTACGCTACACTAAGAGTTTCCGTATAAATCTATTTTTTTACGAAATTTCAGGTTGTTATGCTACGATATTTTATATTCTATTAGTAAGAATGTAATATTTAAATATTTTATCGGACGTGTAATGTATATTACAGCCCAGATACTACCGTCTGGAGTAAAGGGATTGTCGCAGCAAAATATAAGGAGTAATAACGCAGTGACTCTTCCACAGGTATTAATCCAATAGTAATAAACATGATAATGTGTAGAAAAAAAATATAAATGAGAACTTTTTATTAATAATTTACACTATATTGTACATTCTTAGGGAGGACAAGCAATCCAACTCATTGGATCTCAAAGGCCACGAGTTAATCACATGAATCGTCAAGTACAACCAAATCAAGTCAAGTCGGCTGTTTTGTCGAATCAGTTGATCGCCAAAAACGTGACGAGTCAGTTAATATTATCTGGTAGCAAACAAGTATTAACTCCCATAATAAGTAAGTCAATAACGAAATTATTTTTCACAAACATAAATATGTAGTTGAAGATGATCTTCGTTTTATTATTTAACTTTCTTTGCTCTTGCAGCCACGACAAAACCTGTGCTTATGGCGTCGCAGACGACGCCTTCTTCCCTAGTACCTGTTAATAAACAAACTTTATTGACAAAATCCTTACATGCTAGGACTTCTACTGCTCAATGCAGTCAGCAGACGCAGAGTTACGGAATGACTCCTTTGACTACTTTGTCACCACAACAGGTACCTTTTTCGTTATCATATTGATTAAAAGACTGATCTGGACACAAAGAAAGACTTGGTGAAGTCAACAATCTTTCTATTTGTAAAGTGAGAAATACGTGTTTTGAAATTGTAGCTTCAGCAATTGCTGGCCGCGCAAAAAGTCGCAATCGCGACTGGAAGTTCTCAAAATAGAACTCAGATTGAAGCTCAGAGGAATTCCACATCTGCCCCCGGGGAAGATCCCGCCTGAATATGTTCAAATAATAAATGATCGTGTTACGACAAAAATAATTGGAGCCCGCCTAGAAGAAATGTAATGAGGCATTTGTAAATTGTCACTATTGTGTCTACTTTTTAATGTAAAAACTTTGTTTTGCATGTAAAAATGTAATGATGAATTCTTCCTTGTGAATATTTTATAATTTTTGAACAACTGAATAGCCTATATATAATTGCAAAGAGGTTTTACTTGCGAACGAATTGATGAACGAATGTACATGAAAACTTTTAACAAATCATGATATATTAGCCTACGTGCAATAAAATCATTTTTCTGTTAATAATGTCTGCCTTGGAATGTTACTTTAGGGAAGGTTTCAATTATTGTACATATAACTTATACATACAATACGATTTGTTTTTTATATTAAAAAATGTAATAAATATTGCTTTTTTATTGGTATTTACCCTTTTCATATATAATATTACGTTATTATAATAATTATATACATATATATTGTTTTTTAATATACAGATAGTTCGTATAATAGAGGTTGGGTCTCGGTTATCCAAACTATCTTGTCCTCGGTCGATCGGTTCGGATAAACGAGATTCCACTGTAATAAAGTTTCTATACTTGAAAAGCCTTTCTCTCAGTATATTTTTTTAATTAAATAAATTAACAGACAGAATGACTGCTTTTGATCAGATAAAATTGAATAAAAATCTGGATTTTATAGGTACATTTTTATTTAAAAAAGTCTTACATTGTTTAATTTTCAACTTATAATAGGCAAAAGAAAGTATTCCTTCTTGGCAAAAGTGTCACATATAAAAATGTAAGGTATTATGCACAAGAATATTTCAAGTCATTTTTACATGTAATTTAAAAAAACGCACTTTATTCGAAAAAGTTTTTTTTCAATAGATTTGTTGTTGCTTAATACTTTCCATACTCTCCATGAAAAGAGAAAAGGGAAAATGAAATTAGATTAAAAATTGCAATACGCGCGCGTAAACAGACCAATCAGAAACATATTCCTGCAATTTTTAATATATTTTTTCTTATTCCTATATTGTTTGTCATCTTATTACATAATTGTTTCTAGTATTTTACAATAAGCTTATCAAATTATTCGTAAATACTTTTCTTACTCACTACATATTTTTGATATACTTGTACAATGATAGGAAATGTCTAAAACGTACACGTTATAATAAACGTTATAATTTATAAAAACACTTATTAAATAGTATAAAAATATCATTTATAAGACAAACAAGCTAGTCATGGTTTGGCAAGAATATCAGCTATATTTTACGTCTGTCAAAGAGTAATATGTATAAAAACAAAAAAGTCTATACAAACATTAACATTCAAACCCAGCCGTATGCGATCACAATAGATATTATAAAAATCATATAACACAAGTATATAAGAAAAATATTAATATATTAATTCAAAATCTATATAGTAAACTTATCCTATATGATATAAATTAGTTATATAATACACTTGTGAAGAAAATCACGATGTGGCATGACAAAGATAGAGTTTATTTTTATTTAAAACGCGTTCAAATGTCCTAAATTTTATGTTTTCAAATGGTATATTCTTTACAATCTCGATTCAGCATGTTTAATATCTCTTTGATATCTCTGAACACAACATCGACATTTTTACAGCAAAAAGAAATTAATATTACTGCATCACAGATTACACAGGATGTGCAAAGAATTATTGTCAAACGTTAAGGTTCTATTTGTCAAAGCAAGTTAAATTAGATCTTTTATTGAGAAATGAGCAGAAAAAGAAATATTGAAAATAAGTCCAGAAACATGTATAAGTTGAGTAATGTATAGCATTTTCTTTCATTTTTAACGTGCCCTAAAATCAGACGGCAATTTTTACATATCCTGTGTAAATAGAGCATATTTTTACTAGATATTCTTCAACTATTACAAATATTTTATACATTATATACATATATTAAAAAAATAATATTTATTTATGTTTTTGATATTTATTATTTCTATAATTTATTTTAAAAACTAAAATTTATCTCTAAGTTTGTTTTATGTAACACTACTTATACAAATTTATTTTTTATCACTCATAATTTAAACATTTTTATATATACAAGTTGCTTTGACATGTTTAATAAAACTCGACTAACAAAATTCTGCTTTTTCATCACTAATATATCAGTCTCTTTGTGCGAGATTTGCAAATTCACACGAGCGTTTGTTTTATTATTAATATTAAATTTTTATATCTAAGGTAAAAACACACACCTTGAATTCCAATACAATACTGTATATAAATTGTACTACAAGCACTTAAATGCAAGTAGTACTACTGGCACATGTTAATATATAATAACAATTGTGTTTGTGCACAACAATTGCACTTTAATAACAATTAAAAATCTATCTTGAAAAAAAAAAACATACATAAAAAAGAAAATTTTAACCGTTCGAATATCATGTAGAGACGAATGTGTAATGAACATTTGTCGCATACACATTCGTTTTCTTACATGGAGTTCGGGATCAAATCTAAACTTTTAACTTTTTTTGATATTCAAGATATTAAGCTAATACACTTGAATATTTATGAAAAAGGAGAAACTGTAGATATTTACGATATTTACGAAATTTTTTTTGTATCAAAAATTCCATAAAATATTCGAATATATAAATACATATAATCAATGTGTAAATTTCTCTCTTTAAGTACTCTTAATTTTTAATGTATAATCTTACGTTCTAAGCTTTTTGAGAAAAATTATTATAAAAACTATTATAAAAACTCAAAAATCAATAGACAAAACTTATCTTTCATCTATTTTCGCTTTTAAAATTTAAGCACTGTTTTTACACTTTCTATATGTTTCGTGAGATAAATATTCAAGTGTACTGTTTTAAGTATCTCATTTTATGCAGTTGTCACCAAATCAATAGCGCATATAATATTCTCACATTACATGAGTAAAAAAAAGAAAAACAAAAGCTACATTGTCAATTGCATACGTAAAGATAAACTGTTACAATTGTTGTTGTACTAAATTTGTAGATGGTTGATCTACTTCTGGTCGACTGTCTGGAGACTTGGGTTCTTCTATCTCTTCTTGGTTCTTGTCCACTTCCCACTCACTTTCTGGATCGGAAAATATATTTGCGCTATCCAGTATCTCATCTAGTGATGCATCCGATAAATTCTCGACGCTATGTTGATCACCAGTAGCGTAAAGAGAATCTGTAAATGCTGCAACAAAAATATTGAAACACAATTTATTATAAGTTTTAATTAAGAAATTATTTACGTAGTTGTTGATTTAAAGCCAACGACTATAAATCATATTAAACATAATTGTGTGAATAAAAACTATAAATACACATTTATATAAATCATCTGGAAACTTACGATCATTAAACGTATGTTGCGATAACCACGTCGGTTCATCCCAATCATCGAACTGAAGTTGTTTATTGGTATCGACTTCGTCCATGGAGAGCATGGTATGCGATTCCGTATCAGTTACATCAAAGATTTCTGTTACTTGTACCTTGTTGTTATCATCCATGTAATAATATGATATCACAGCCTCTTGATCCGAGGTTGCCTAACGAGAAGCGATTCAAATATGTATTTTTTTTTATCTTACATCGCAATTTAAATATTTTATTACTCATTAATTATACCTGGAGAATACTTTCAAAAGTGTCGTCCACTGTTGAAAAATCACCCATATTTATTACACAACTTGATTGCCTTGAGTTCATCCATGATTGTCTTCTATAAAAAAAAAAAAAAAAGTGATACATAACGAGCTATATGATATATAGCAAAAGATATTACATGATATGTAACAAAAAAAGAAGTCTAATTAAATTGTACACAACGACTAGTTTAATTACTCACCGATCGTTGTATTGGACAGTTAGATTCAGATTTTTTTGTTTTGTATACACAGCATCTTTTTTCTCGTCTACATCTTCCACATCGTATTCTTAAAAAGTTTTATGTAAGAATTAGTATTATAATATGCATAAATTTGAGGATTCGCGAAGCGTTAAGACACTTATAATGATTAAGATATACTTACTTGAACCATATTCCATAATGTTAAACTGACACTTGATAGTTTGAGAGAATGGCTGAACATATATATTCGGGAACATTATACTCAATTGCTCTAAGAAATATTTAGTTATTTCCATTAACTGACTTCTTAGCTTCGGAACGTTTAAGAAGACTCTGGAATTAAAAACCATATGTTCTTTATTATAATTAGGAAACAAATTTATATGTGTGCGTGCGCGCGTGTGTGTACGTGTATGTGTATTACATCTAACTAATGAACAAGCAAATATATGTCGGTAAACATATTTTTATTTATTTATATTTTCTATGTATGTTTAATGTTTATTTATTTTTATACGTATTAAAAATATATTTACAATCTTGCGCATTTGCAAATTGAAAAAATATAATTAAATAATTTTATATTTTAATATACTGTAATATACTAATTTAAAATAATAAAATATAATATAAATAATTACACATATAATAATTTAAGATATAATATATAGAGAAAAGATAGAGATTTAATATAGAGAAAATATTTACGATTGTTTTAGTAACGCATCAAAGTGCAAGTAAAAATAAAAAATTTCAGATAATAAAAATGGTCAATATGTTTATTTACGCATCAGTAAAATAAAGAAAGCGTTACATCTGGGAATTTAATGCTTACCGGGAGGATCTTAAATGGTTAGTGCATGTAAGCCTCTGTCGCGGAGTATGAAGAATATTTCCGATTACTTTGTATTCCAAGTTGCGAGTTTCTATCTTGTTACCAATCAAACTATTAACATGCACGACATGCATAGTGTTAAATACAATAATACAAGCAAAACAAGTATGATTCATGATAAGTCGCATAACCGAAATCTATAGCATGTATCAATAGCATGTACATTGTTTGTGCAATGCAATAAAAAAAAACAATGCAATAAAATGCGAGATTTAATACAAAAATCTTTGTTGAGAAAAAAACTTTATTAACATCACATATTAGTATTTTAGTATGACTCGTAAGTAACAATAGTAAACATGAAATTAATGTTGCATGTTAAAATTGAGTAGAAATATTTAAAAAAGTTTAAAGCAAATGACTGTAAAAGGTGGCAATTTATACGGTTTATAATAAAATCGAAATCGTGATTTCTCCATGCACAATTATCTGCGAAAATAAGTTATTTATGTGAAGCGTGTGTGCACTTGTGCGTAAATGTTGCATATAAAGTAGATGTATATTTTATATTATATAGATTTTACTTTGTATGTAACAGCTCTCTACTCACTTTGTGACAGTAGCGCACATTACGTCTGCTGATAGCGTATAGGGAAGACTCAACAATGACAGCAATCTTATACTACGGTGTTTGAATAGCCAATTGACGAGACCTTTGTTGGCGGAATCTATAGCATCTTGGAATATTGTCATAATGGTTTCGGGCATTTTCGACACCAATGCTTCCTGAAAATAATACGGTGCAGACTTAAAAATACAATTCGAGTTCTCTCTCATAGACTAACAAAAATATCGACGCTGTATCGACAAAATAGAAAGTAAATTGTATTTTGATTATTACGATGAGATTATTGTTGCTTCTCTCTCCCTCGCGTAGTCCTCACCTGTCTATGCATTTTACATTCCACGCATTCCGGATCGTATTCCATGCTATCGTCGATCGTTTCCTGAACTGTAAATGTTGATTGTACCGCGAGACATCTGGTACAATTTAACAAATTGTTACGGTGTAAAAATCTCAACGCGTCGTCGAATCCCTGCTTGCACATATTCGAAAGAGTCTGGAAGTCGAAAAAAGAAATCAAATCGTTTTGAAAATTCTCCACCTTTTTTCATTTTTACATGTATTTTTCCATTCATTTCCACATTTGCAATTCATATCCACATACCTCTACTCTTGGCGGAAAAATTATTCTTGCGAACCTGTATATGTTTTCTTTGGAAAGTTCGATGCTTGTGTTACTTACATTGACCTGCAAAATGATACAAACATTATCATCCGTGCGCCTAAATATGTGATAATTTAAATCGCTTATCGAACCGCGATATATATGATTAATTTTTTGTTGCGCGTTTGTCGGAATTGTTTCAACTTTTCTTTCTATTAAAAAACTTAATTAGTTTATCAATAAGCGTTAGTTTATCAATAAGTACATGAAAGAGTTGAGACGAAGGATCTCTCGGGCAGATATCGCTCTCTCCGCAGAACGGACTAATAGTTATCGTATTTTCGTCGAGGGTGGGAAGATTATCACTAAAACCTCCGTCCATATATCTGACACCGTGAAATCGTGGTGGCAACAAACCACTGAACAAAGGTATGAATGAAGTAGCCAGTAGAGCCTAAATTATAAAAGAAAATACACATTGGCTTAAAATGATAAAAATTCTTAAAACCAAAATAACTTCTCAAAAGAGAAACCAATCATAAATTAAATAAAGAAACAGTTTTTGAACAAAAAGTTCCATAAACATATTGTGCTGTATCAAATAAAAAACTAATATAATTTATAACTTTATCTAATAAACACAACAAACAAAAGAACAAAGTTACATAAACTCATTAGTAAAACAATTGCAAGCGATATTTGTGTACTTACTTGCAGTAAGTCTTCTTTTGAATTAAACTGAGAGACAATTACGTTTTTGCCATCGTACACTCTTGTCATGGATACATGCAATTTCCCGTTTACACGCAAATGAGCATCATCCGGTAAAAACTAGAACAAAGCGATCACGCATTGCGTAACAATAACATTTAAATATTCATATTTAATCGACTTTTTTTATATCTTAGATCATAGATTTGAACCTTACCTTTCGCAAGCTCTCCAGTAGCATATCTTGCACATTGAAAGATGGACTGAACGGTCCGAGTGCGTGCTGTCGTGCTTTGCGTGCCACGTGTAATACATTGCTCGTCATCTCCCCTGACAAACAGAAAGAACAGAACGATTGTAAGTCAAAGCGGAGCCGGCGGAAATTGATGGCACATTCGTGATACGCCGACGCATTCAATCAGCGGCAACAGATTCATTCAAGCGCATGAAGTGAACAAGGAACAGAATTTCTCATAAATTAGCGCGTGGAATGCGTTTTCTCACAACTCTGCCGGAACACGAACGTTTGAAAATATGCAAAAAATTTGCAATAAAAACATTAAATTTTACGATAAGAGCGAACGTGATTTGCGTTGATGGGAGAAGTTTAGCTTAACATACGTTTTGAAAATAAGCGGAACGAGTACTACAAGTTCGTGTAATTTAAATAACGTTTCTTGTACACGTGACGCATGGTTACACTAGCAATGAAAAAAAAAAATATTCCAATCTAAATATTTAACGTGTTCAAGTAACCGTTTATATTCACGCGCAATCAGTACCTAGAGCACATTTGTACTTCAATTTAATATCGAACATGAAAATATTTGTAAAATAGTGCAAGTCATGAAGATTGATAAGATGTTAAGAGATATTGGGATGGCGTTTATAGATAAATTTGGAGAGTCAACAAAAAGAAGAAAAACACTCGATAATCCGATTTCAAAAATCCGATAATAATAGACAAATAACGTATGTATCTTGAAAAAAAAAAAAAAAAATGACTTAACTCTTCTATCTTCTCTTGAATGTACGCGAAGATACAGAGAGATTGGGTATGTTTTTCAAATTTTTTGTTTGATCACATCAATAACATATCGTGTGATACAGAGATTAATAAACAAACACGTCAAATTTGCTCAACATTACGCGCGATATATCTTTTTATCTCTCTCTCTGTGACATTTGCTCCGACAACCTTAGAAAGACTCAATTACGTCAATTACAAAGAAAAAAAGGGGGAAGAAAGAAACGATATCGTGTTGGCGTATCTTCCGATCGACCACGCGACATTTCCCTAACAAATAACGTTTCGTAATCTTCATGTTCCTGACGAAGAGTTTCGCCGCAAAAGATGCATGGAATGACGTGTGTAACATGACGCGAGTGTTCTTAAAATGCCACCGGCTGTTTCTCAGAACCTTTCGAGTAAACTTTAAACTGACACAACTTCGCGCTAACGTCAGATTAAAATTTGCCCCAAGTGTTTCAATTAATAAGTTTCAAAAGTTTTTGAACTATGTGTTCCTAGCTGTGTGAATTATTTTTCAGTAAATATTGTAACATAATTTCTATACAAATATTATAATTTGGCATTACGTTATTTATAAAACGAAGGATGCGTGAAAATACGGTTGAAAAATAATTCAAATATTTTTAGCAATAATTCGCTTTAAAAAGACAAGATAACTTCGTGCAACGATATATTAACGGTAAACATTGTGAATAATTGTTGTGTAAAATTTATATAACATTTACATTGACACACATTGTTAGCAGCACGTTGCGAGCCAAACTTTTTGCGTAAACGTCTCCTATCGTAAGTATCCAAAATGAGATAAGAACCGGTTATTTCGGATTTCTCAATGTCGAGAACAACGTCAGAAGAGACGGTGTCAGAAAACGTGATTACAAAAGTTAGGAGAAGCCGAAGATGTGAAATAAATAACCGTGCGGGAGGTTATCAGATATGTAGCGCGTTAACCACACGCGCGTACATACATGTACATACGTCAGCGTATCACTATAGTTCAGGTCCGATAGGAAACAGCATCGCTTTGTTCGGTCGTATCTCCAATGCTCGACCAATGTAGATAACAAATACGAACAAAAGCTCAAACACGTGCTGAGCAGAAATATGCAACTCGTTCGCGCGCACCACGCGCAGCGAGTAGAAATATTACAAAGTAAGTAAATACACAGAAATGACGGACTGCACAATCTTTACATACAATAAACAATATTTATAGGTTTTTTTTTCACGAATGATCCTCCCGACAGTTGATCGCAAAAAGAGGTATTGAGTCATTAAGTATATATACATATATATGTATATGTATGTACATATATACTATATACATTTGTCAAGTTTCTTAATGATCCAACATATATAGGAAGTCATTAAATACGAAAAAATTGAAGAAAGATATGTTGACTCGCTGTGAAGGCTATCGCTATTCGATTTTTATTAACCCGAGAACTCTCAGAACGATATTAATATCCGGATGATATATTCGCGTGATTTAATATTCGCATTTTTTTACGATAATTATCTGATTTACCGCGCTTGTAGATGTTTCAGGTAGGCATTCCGAAATTGTTCGAATCTATTTGAGATTCAGACGGAATTACGGGATTCAGTTATACATGGTGTATGAAAAATGTTGACCAAGCCGCAGTGTGAAGATAAATTGGATTAATCTGAACAGAAAAGTCATGTAGCCCCCCCCATTTGCAAAATTCGAAATAGTTATTGAGTGACTAATTCATATATGTGACTCAATGAGAGCATGTGGAAAGCGATACAATTTTTCATTTTATCTAAGTATGGAGAAATATTTGAATATTTGAAACATTTAAATAAAATAAAATATTTGAAATATTGTATTTAAATAAAATAAAATTTCTAAAAATACGCAAGAGAAAATATTTACAGTTTCTAAATATTTCTCTTTCTTCCGTTAATCCGTCAGAACATATTAAAAAACGATCTAGTGTAGCGGACGATCGATACTTTTTATTAGCCACAATAAATGTTTAAACAATGTCATTCGCGAAGTGCGCAAAGAAAACTACAAATCTAATTTTGAGCGTAGCAAAAAATAACAATTTAAAGCTTTGATTGAGTTCACCGTCGTTAATCATCATCATCGGCGAAGAAACAATCGTTCTTACAATACACGCGAAAAAGATACGGAAGATATCGAACAATGCGCGAATGCAGATTTCGTCATCGCGCTCGTGAATCAATAACACCTGGTATATGCAATTACCGATTGTATTAATTCAATTCGCGTGCACAGATATTGACTTTTAGACTTTAGACATCGGTCCTTCGATAAACATTATCCTATTGCATTAATAAATTTACATATATATATATATACACATTATTGATAAAGAGAAAGGTATACGAATCCATGATGAAAGCTTAATCATAATGTCGCATACCTTTTATATATCTCTCGATATCTAATTGTGATACAAGACAATTTTAAACAAAAACAATAAGAAACAAGGAATTACATGAAACCTTATCTTACAATTGGACTTGGAATTTCCATGTATGTAAAGTACACGTCGCGCATCTTCCAGATGTCACGATTTGCGAGATCAGCTGATTTGTCAATCTAATCTTTAATAAAAATACCAGAGAAGTTTTGATAGAGATGTACACGATAACCATTGTGCAAAACACCGTTCAATCTCGAGGAATGTTATTTTAGATACACGTAGCGATTGTGACATCATCGATAAAAATCGTTAATGCGCAAATGAAAAGACCACATTCAGTTTTATATCGGATTATCGGTCATCTAACTATTTCTCGCAATAAATACGTGCAGTTGTAACCCAGTTCTACTGACACCGATGCGCCACTATATCTAGGCGAGAGAGTCAGAGCGAGATAGCATTTTTTTTTCCCATTCACTTTTCTCCGATTTGCGCCATACGCGACCATGAATTTTATCGACGGATCTGAGAGGACATGAAAACATGTTTGTTGTAATTCTCAGCGGTCAGTTCCTCGCATTAGACGCGTCTTCACGTGCGGCGCGATATCTATTGTTTGCGACCTCGTTTGTGCCCGATAAACGTAAACAAGCGCAATATTAAAACAATGATGTAACGACAGACATCATGAAGGAAATAGTAATATCGTCTTTTGTCTGTGACCCAAAATTATTTTATACGAAGCGAAGAGAGTGTCTACTTTGACAAGCTGTCACACAAACACGTGCGATAATGTGCGATAGCGTATGACATTTGTTCTTCTACGTCGTTTCAGTTACTTATCAATCGATCCACATATTAATTTAAACATAAAGCATGTATTTTCATCAGTTGAAAATCTTATATGTATGATAATTAATTATCGTACTTGTGTCGCAGTAAGGAGTGCGAGTAAATTTTATTCTGCTCCGAATAAGAGAGTTTTTTTTTTTAACGCAGGCTTATTGCACGTATCAAAAGTCGAGAATAGTCTCAAATCAATAAATAAAGTGATTGAATAAGAGGCGGAGAAGTAGCCTGTTTTTTCTCATACGCCAAAGTCTGTCGGTAGGCTAGGATACTAGCAAATATACATAATTCCTCATAGTTCGAAGTACATCTGTCCGCGTATAACTCGCATTTCGCATCTGTAAGTAAATGGAGCTTACGCAAGACGATGAAGTGCAGCGACGCCTGACCTCGCCATTATGATCGCATCGTTGAAATTAAGTAATTCATGATCTGCTTTGTTCACCGAAAATACTTTATGTAAAAATACTTTGTCTTTAAATAGTCCACAAAAACGCATATAATCAACACATATATTTCGATGTTCGTTAAAAAATGATTTTTTCGACAAATTCTCTAATTCGCGAAACAAAATATTAAACAATATTAAAACCGATATACACGTCAAAGATAAATAACTGCAATTTATAATGTTACAATTGCTGTAAATTAATAAAGAACTATTTTGAGATTTTTTATTTTTTATCTATTATTTTTGCTTCTTTATTTTTGACAAATCCAATCAAACGGCAATTAAGATTCTTGATTAAAATTTAATTAAAATTTTGATTTATATACACTTTAAATTGATTGAAGAACAACATGATGGTATCCAGAACAATTCAAGTTAGATAATATCAACGCGCTCGCTCATTACGCTGCATCTGCGAGCTTCGCAATACGTAATGCAAAACGTAATACGGAACACGGAGATAAGAGATCACACGCATAACATATTTGATTTCTTTTTTCTCGCGATAACGAAGACAAAACGTTTCACTCTCGCGCGGATAATCAAAACACTCGTGCAATAAATCTTTGCGCTATGAAGTTCTTCATTTCACATGAGGTGGGCGTGACTTACATATATTTACGAGCTAGGATAATCAAGTTTACGCGTGTTTTACAAATTATTTTAGAAGTTAAAAGAGAGAGAGAAAGCGTGCCGCAGTGGCAAAATATTTTCTGTTTTTCAGGAATTTGCTACATTATTGCCTTTTTAGACTATTTTTGGACTTTGCATTTCTTATCCTTCTTCTTTTTTATTTTATTTTCTGGTAGGAAATCCTCTCTATTGTTTTTACTTATTTCCTGTTACGTTTCTTAATTCATTATGCTCAAAAGACAATACATACAGATCATCGCGTATCGTACCTGGAATAAACGAGCGAGCATAGACTCAACGACACTTTTAGAAATCGTCAGCCGCATATTTAATTAACACATGCAATGCGGCGTGAAATTGGCGAACGAGAGATACGAGAAAGGGCGCAGCGCGCATTACAAATTTGTGCATTGCGCGCTAATCACTATTACACGCTCGTCCCGTCTCTCGTTATCGCGGTAACGAGACACGCGGTGAATCATTGACAATTATATTATATGATATAATAGAGATTCGCACGTCGTAGAGGCTCTCATTTTGCGCAACAGAACAAAGAAGAATCAAACAAAAGGTGAATCTTTCTTTCAAGAAATAATTGAGCAATTGTTTTTGTCTCGCGCGTTGCGCCAAGCGAGCGGAAACCTCAAGCGTCCAATTTGACGTCTCACCTGAGAGAAAATCTTTTGTAATTCTCTAAAACTATCTCGATCAAGAAAAAAAAGATAGATATTTTATTATATATCTTTCCGCTCGTGAAAATTCACAAATGAAAAATAGGGCCAAAACGAGTCGTAAACAGGATATCCGTGTTTTAATGATTTGTTAAATTTTGAGAAGAAGGAAGAACTCTTCTTTCATTTTTATCGGGATAGTCGTTGAAGAAGATCCTGATACGGATCGAAACGTTTAATGTCAAAATTTAACAAATCATTAAACCACGGACACTCTGTTTCGGGCTCGTATTAGTCATATTTTTCATTTACAGATATTTTACATGTAACGCAAGCAGAAGAGAAAAATAAAAAAGTCCACTCACCGAGAGGGAGATCGCAGAGCAGGCAGCAAGCAGCGATAGCACCCGCGGACGCACCACTTATCTTGTTCAATAGCAAGTGCGGTGCGTACTTTTTGAAGCAGCAGGCCACGCCGACGTGATAGATACCGAGAAAACCGCAACCGGCAAATGACAGATTCATGATTCTGTTTGCTCCGGACAACACGCCACGTATTTCACGAAAGAATTGTGTCTCTTCAAGAGAAATCTCTTTAGGATAGAAAAAAGAGTTTACCGTTCGTGTATCTGCGACGAACGATAAGTAATCGTTGTGCGTCACGTTACTTTACGAAGGTCTTGTCGCGCGATGTAAACAAAACTCTCGCGACGAGAAAACAAACCGCGCGAGGAATCGCGGCCACTGCGACGGAGCTTCTTCCTGTCTTCTTCTTTTCCTCGTGTGCGTTTCGTTACTTGTGCGCAACACAGGTAAAACACAATTGGCAGTTTTTTCCAGAATCGTCGTCTCTCTTTCTCTCTGTTGCTGAGTCTCGTCGTAGCGTGCAAATATTGATATCTCAATGCGAACACAGAACAAACGCAATACGTTCGGTCACGTTGATGTGAGCGGGAGCGACGCACGTGTCACACGACGGTTGATCGCGTTCTGACGGAGAAACATGAGCAACAGCTGTTCCCGATTAAATCCCACCGTGAAAAAGAGGGAGTGATCCGAGGAAAGGCAGAAAGAAGAAAAAAAAGATACCCGCATCTCTCCCTCAAAGCTGCGGCGGCGATAGCGCACTTGCTCGTGTGATGACGTTTCACACGTGACGTACGTCGGCTACGATTGGCGCGGTTCAGGTGGTGTGGTTCGTTAGTCTACGCCTACTACGCACACACACGCAGCACCGACACGTAATTAGAGGTCTTAAGGCCTGCGTACACAATCCAATAAACTTGGAGAAATTGATTAAAGTAAAAAACAGAACTTGACAGAACTTGGACAGTAGCAACTTCCATTGACTCGTGAGAATCTACAGTCGTCAATGCAATTACTTTTTTGATTGAGAAAACTTGAACCGAGATCTTTGACCGAGTTCCATTTTGCTGTTGTACACAGGTCTTTACGAACACGGATTGGCAGTAAAAACAAAGCAGATCAGACAGAGAAACATACCTTTTCACGCTTCTCTTTCTTGGAGCGTCGAACATTTCCAGTAGGTATATCTGGAAAGAGACAGAGTACAGCAAGATCTGTGAATGCGTCGCAGCTGTCTCTTTTCCGAGAACCTTGAGGTCGTAAGCAAATCAACCAATCATAGGCCAGCATTAGCTTAAATTTGTTAGCAAGAATATAATGCGCAACGGCCTTGATCGGCACGTCGAGTGATTTCGCGAAGAGAAGAAAAAGTTCCGCGACAGCGGCTAAAAGAGAAAAAAATTCGACTTTATTAATAATTTACTTCTAAAAAAACAGAAAATTGGTCGCGAACTAGATTTCGAGCATCAGAGCTTTAATGATTTTTCGGTTTGTCACACTGGTTTATATTGTAATCGCACCTTCTTCCGCCAGATGTCTTCACGATGTTTCCTCGGGATGAGTGCTCGCCGACATTGCCGACTGAACGGAGCGAATTTTAGCGTTCGGTTCGCGCGGTTGTTGGTCGATATCGGGAGCTCGTAAACGCAGAAAAAGCACGGCGACGATGACAGAGTGGATGCGCGTTGGGCAGCGTCGGGTGACGTTTTGAAGTCGCGAGTGCTCGTTCGATAATATACGCGTCTCGTACTCGTGTATTTGCGACAGTACGCGACGTTTGGTCGTCGTCGCGCAGCGAACTGGAGAATATATCCCCGTGTTTCCGCGGAAAAGAGACACGACGTGTGATTTACTCCAATTGGGAAAGGAAGCGACACGAGGGTGCTGTGCGAAAGATCACAGCCCCGGTTCACCCCCCGGTTTAGGGACGTGTCGCGTGTGCGTGCGTGCGCGCGAGTGATATGCCGGGCCGGCATCCCGTAGCCCGGCGATACACGACATTGTTCGTCTGATGCAATTGATTCTTTTTTCACCTGACGCCCTGAGAGTCGAGCTCGCTCGTTGTCGTCGTCCGCTACTATGTGCATCACGCATTAATAGCGCGTAATCGCCATTCTTGCAAGGTGAGTTACGCACCGCTGTCTCGTCACGCATACTTTCGGATCTGTTACATGTATATATATATATAAATATGTGCGTGTATAAAATGTACATATATACATTGTTATACATATATATAACAATGTTGTATATTGTTATATACATATATATATATGTGCGTATGTGTGTGTATACGTATATACATACATATATAAAACGATTTATTTTCGTGCGCGCTCCGAAGATCGATCAGCGTGGGTGGGCGAGCGCTGTCCGGCTCTGTCTTTCTTTCTGTAGCTCTCCCCTAGTTTTTTCTCTCTCTCTCTCTCTCTCTCTCTTTCCCTCTCTTTCTCTTCTTCCTCACTTAAAAACGTGTCTAAACGTTTCGAAGCCAAAGAATACGATCTAAGTCGGTTAGAGTCTATTCCTGCAATATAGCAAAATGATAAAGATTTTAATTAAATTGAATATTCCTTTTAATACTTTCTTATGTACTTTCTATATCCCTTAATTAATTGTAATAAATAATCAGTGTACATGTGCGTTGTTTCTTTTAATGTACTGTATGTATACAAGGATGATCACGTACGGAATATTCAATAAGATTGATGTAATCGATAAGACTTGTACACACTCAAGAATACATTGAAAAAATATGTGATTATTGTTCATGTAAAAATTTTGCAACTCAACTTCAATTCTTACTCATTTTTTTTGTAATTAATTGAATCTTGCGCTTAATTCTAAAAAAGAAAATGAAAAACAATATATGTATAATACAGTGATACATACAAAATAAAAAAACTATATAATGAAGTAGGACTTTCTATATGGAAAAGTGACTTTTATAGAGAATTATATAATCTCAGAAATTGCTTTTCTCTTACATACGTACATGTTTGAGTGACTGCAAGAAATACACCTGGAAAGTGTGTTCTTTATTGTGTTCTTGACACAACATGTGATTTAGCACAATTTATATACACTGTAACGTATAACCTTTGGTTACTGACTTGAATATAAAAGTGCGCATTGACTTGAAAACAACGGCTGACTGACACAGCAATGTGCGCCATAAAACGAAATTTAAAGATATAATGCAAATTTTGACTGAACCTACAAAATATAAATAGGATGATCATTTATTTCAAGATAATTCCAAATATTTAAAAAAGAACAAAAAATAAAATAATAGTCCTAATTGTATATTTTGTGTAATTTTACTTTAACTTCAATTCACGGTTCAACGCTAATGTATAGCATCAATATAATATTATGTACATTATAGTATACACTTTGTGTGTTCTTCCGATTGTAGCATGTATGCGCTGCAGATACAAACCGCCTGCCAGGGCGAGAGCACTGGCGAACCTGATGATTCCAGCAGTCCCCATCAGGAACCAGCGCGACCTGCTACGCAGGATTGCAGTTCCTTCGACATCGTCAGAGCCACACAGGTAATCGCAACAACGAACAGAAGTACTAAATATAATAGCAGGAAGACTAAAAGAGTGTGATTACTTTTGGAGCTTGAGTCTAAATTGGTACAATTGGTATTTGCAGTACGGTTCGTTGGAACGAGTAACGGAGCTAGTGGAAGCCGGTGCCGATGTGAATCAGCCGGACTCGGAAACTGTGACACTGCTGCATTGGGCCGCCATAAACAATCGCAAAGATATCGTTAAATATCTCATCGCAAAGGGAGCTGAAGTCGATGCTATCGGCGGTGAATTAGCTTCCACACCATTGCATTGGGCTACAAGGTCAGTTTTTTACAAGTATCGCTGATATAATGTCACACGATTATAATGAGAATAATGGAAGTTTGGTGCAAATGAGTTTCTTTTTGCATCTTTATATTATCGTTGCGCGATCTCTTTGTTTTTCGCAATATAATTTTACGCGAACGACTCGTTCAATTTGACGAAAATTTATTCCTTTATCGCTCTCTAGACAAGGTTATCTCGCCACGGTTGTGATATTGATGAGGGCAGGTGCCGATCCGACGCTGAAGGATAACGAAGGATTCTCATGTATACATCTGGCAGCACAATTCGGCCATACGGCCATCGTCGCTTATTTGGTAGCAAAAGGAGTGAGTCCGAATACTCCTGACAAAAACAGCATGACGCCGCTTATGTGGAGTGCTTATAAAGTTAACAGGTACATAAAGTATTAAGTAATTATTGCGCGAGCGATACGGTTCGCCCAGATGCAATAGCATTATGTTGGTTACTTTTAAAGTCTTTCTTTTTACAGTTTAGATCCGACGCGACTGTTGTTGACTCTAGGTGCGTCGCATTCGTACACCGATGCCATGTACGGTAACACAGCCCTGCATTGGGCCATCGTTGCAAAAAACAACACAGCGATATCCACGTTGGTGCAACACGGGGCTTCGTTAGACGTGCCCAATTTCCGAAACGAGACGCCAATGACACTTCTCGGCCCGCATATCGGTGCCGCATGGCTAGGTTCTAGAATCAGTCAGGAGATTAGAGAGAAGCAAGGTCGCACGAGAACATGGTGTAGAGATAAGGTAAATCTTATGTTTACTCTGTACAGTTTTTTGAAAAATTTTATCAAATTAGATATTTAAACAGTTTCTTTGTGTGGTTACGTACTTTCATCGTACATTTACGTTTTTTTTCTTTTCAGAGAATCCGCTGGTATTGTATGGTGATTACACCGTTCGTAGCGTTCTATGTGATTGGCATGGTTCTGCAGAGTGGATGGGATTATTTACTAAAACTAGGTGCCTTCTTCATATTTTACGTAGCAGTGTATCTAATGAACCATTTCGTGTTCGACGAACGGTTATTTCATGTCTTACCGATGTCAATTTATTTGGCAACCAAGGTAAGTAATCGGCGACGCGTTTTAGATAACCGCGAGCGTCTATGAACGATTAGTTTTCTGATAAGCTGCTAAGTAATGATAAATAACGTTGTCGATAAGACGATAAGCTCAAAGCTCAATTTGATTCGCATAAAATATAGACGAAGCACAATTATCACAACAATGCGTTACGAGTAAAAAACTTGATATAACTTTAATTTGTAAAAGAAATCATTATTGCAATCACAGTTCGAACATTCACATTTGTTCTCTCACACAAATTCTGTTCAAATATGTACATAGTAATTGTTATCAACAGATATCTCTTTACAACATTCGAATAAGATAACTCATATATTGAAAATACAATAATCACTCACAAATTATCAACAGACAAATACATTTCTATATTGATAAAAATTTTGAGATATATTAAACAGGTAGGAAACGTTGAATGTGTTTTTTTTTAAAACAATTTCGAATAAATTGTACATGTTTACAAAATTAATTATGAACTCTTTTATATGTTGATTTTAGATGTGGATATATATCACATGGATATTTTGGTTGGGTATCCATGCAGCGTGGTATCTATGGTTGTTGTTAGTCGGAGGATCCGTTCCTCTCTGGATATGTTTCTTGCAGTCTTGGCGCGGTGATCCCGGAGTTATTACAGCTACTCACGAAGACAAATTAAATGTAATTTACATTATTCCTACGTGCAAAATCATCTGATCTACAAAAAAAACGAACGAAGTAAACGAACGTATTTATTTGCAGACAATAATTGAATTGGCCGAATCAGGTGGTTTTGAGCCACAATGGTTTTGCAGTAGTTGTTTGGTCAGAAGACCTATGAGATCTAAACACTGCTCCACATGTGATCGTTGTATAGCACGATTCGATCATCATTGTCCGTGGGTTAACAACTGTATTGGTAAGCAGATATTTAATCGTTTTTTTTTTTTTTTTTTTTTTTTTTTTTTTTTTTTTTTTTTTTTTTCACTATTTGGAGATCAATTTGTCATAGAACGATAATTAATTTTTGACATATATATTCATTTTTTACAGGTGCGCATAATCACAAGTATTTTCTTGGATTTCTTGCATCTTTGCTGGGATTGTGTATGGTCATTTTATCTGCCAGTGTGCAGTATTGGCAATTTGAATGTTGGTCGAACTTGACAAACGGTCATAGCGCGGATACCTATTTGGTAGCTGCGGCTACGTGCGACGCTTGGGTGATGTGGGTGGCGGCCAACACGTCCCTTCATTCCTTCTGGGTCGGGACTCTATTGGCGTGTCAGTGTTATCAGGTATGATAATATTTATAATTTTAACAAACACTGTACAAGTTGTATGTCTATAAACGAATCTTTGTCTCGAGTTGTAATAAATTGTTATTGGAATTATTTTTTTGTGTTTGCAGATTATGGTGTTGGGAATGACGACGAACGAACGAATGAATGCCGGCCGTTACAAACATTTCAAACAAGGAAATCCGTTTCACCGCGGTGCACTGCAGAATTTTGCCGATTTCTGTAATTTTAGTTTTTGCGGGGTGAAGGCAAAACCTAGCTCAGATTGGTTGCACAGTTTTGATCTCAAACAAAGCATCGAGAAGTTACCTTTGCTCGCGCAGAAAGACAATTTTCAGTACGTTTAGAATCTTTTGTAAGAACATTGCAACAACGGGGACTATGCATGTTGCTGTCGCGGTCGTAAGAGGCTAAATTGTACACACACGTCATATCACTTGCGTCTGATGTTCGCTTGGTTTCTATCTAAAACTTGCCGCGAACGTGTAAGTGACTTCCCAAGTATGGCAGTAATTGTGCATATATAGACGCGATTTTAGTCAAATTACACTACGGTAATTCTGAATAACAATTCTTCAACTTCAACAGTATGAAGAGCTGTTAAAATCTTATGATCGTACATATCCTGTACTTCACTTAAAGATAGCTATGAACGACGATATTAAACGGTGCACAAATATTTTAATTCATCACAGTTGACTCTTTGTTGCTCGGATTATTTGGCAAAACTTCAAAACTCTTTCTCTTGTGTTCCTAATAAATAAGTTAAATATACACAGAAATCTCTGTATTTTCGAAACTATAAAAAATATAAGAAAAAACAAGTTTCGATATTGTGCAATATTGATGTCGTAAATTTTTTTAAATAAAAAGACCCAGTCTCTGTAATCTGAGAGTTGAGCACAATAGAAGGTCAATTAATATGATTTTTTTTAGTGATGATTTTAATTACGCATTTAATTACGCAATTGTTTCTGTATATTTTTAGCACTAAGATGTCTTTACCTGATTACAAAAGTGCGTTTTGTAAATATTATTTTGTTTAACATGTACATTAATGCGTTTAATAATTTCACATTTAAAGTCTGTGGCACACGATGTTTTTTTTCATGCTAGATTGCACTAGAAGTAATTAATCGTGATTCACACAAAAGAGTTGTCATATCGTGATGCTTGCATGCGATATAACACGAAAAGAAACATTGTGTATCCGAAGGCTTAATTTCAATATCGCAATCCACAGCAAGCACTTGGAGCTTGAAAGTATATGCTGTTCAGTAAATAAATTTATAAACTAAAGCTCTAATACCTCTTTAATTAACACACATACACAAACACTATATAAAAAGTTATACTACTGTATCATTATTTTTTCATCACAAGTAACAATATAAGTAAAGTTTGATGTGATGGTGTGTATTATCAAAACGATAAATCCTCGCGATAAATTCACATAATAATTCGCAATTTTAAATTTAAAATACATATTTATGTAATAATTACACATATATTTATTTAATAATCTTGAAAGTTCTTCAACACGCGAGAGATTCAAATTCATATAAAGCGTGCAAATAAACTGAATAAAGAGTGATGTGGCCTATATGATATCTACAAATGTATAAAAATTTATGCAAACTAGAATGTATAAGAGAAAATCAAATGCTGTGCAGTAGAATTATAGCTGAGAGCAAATATTGCGTAACAGCTGTTTATACAGTTTAGTCTATTGTTCATATTTGTATAAGAGATTTTACCTGACTTAAGTGCCATGTTATGCTTCTTGGAATGCATTTATATGTGTGTACTCAACATTAGAAGATTTTGTTGAGATCAACTCTATTTGCATCAGTTATTGTTACGATTAAAGTATATCGTAATGATGTACACACTCTCTTGCGGTCACAAATCAATATTATAAATTATATGTAATATTTATTTAAGAGGACTGTTATATCTCATATATGAGATATATCGAATGTATATCTTAAGAAACAGTTAAGTTATAAAAAATTGCTTTTTATATGTTAAGCGAAGCGTTAAATCTAAAATATATTGTTACAGCGGGAAGAGGAGAAAAGACGGAAACAAAAAAATGATTTAATGCGACTAATCGCATCAAGTAGTACGCTTTGTTTGTATGTTTCCTATTATCTTCGAATTAATAATTTTTTCAAATTATATGTGTACAAATATCAGTGCAGAAAAATTTATAAATCAATGCTTGTACATTCCAAAATTAATGACGACATTTTATAACGAAAATGTTGTAGATAATGTCAATTTTGTATAAAATTCTTATGAAAACTTTTTCGATTACGACGAATAAGGTAATTGATGATAAAATATTGCAAGTTTAATAATTTTTTAGATGCACTCACACAGAAATGGTCTTTCTATAACAAAAATATTGAAATTGTTACATAGAACTCGTAAACTACAGAAGAATAAATTATGAAAATTTTTAAATTTTATTGAAAATGAAAGAAATGATATTAAATTCGCATAGTAATTTCCGTGAGTGTGTAAACGCGCCAATTGAACAAAGATTAAATATTTTGCATAATTTAGTTTTGATTTGACGATTAATGTGAACAATGCGATATATACATAGTTTTATCATGTATAGGATCGTTCCGTTTATACACGCAACTATGTACTAAGTGAGCTCGCAGTGCGTTTTATGACAAGAGATTATTTCAATATGCTGCTCATTTAACTGTTATATATTTGATTTGACCTGTTTGTAAATACTTATAAAACTTTAGTTCAATATATCGTAGAATTTGTAGAGAACAAGAACTTGTAGGAATCATGTCTCTTCAAAATCATCGATACATGTTTTTAACTTTAAGTTCGATTTATCTTTAATTTTTTTTCATATGATTACTTTTTTGTACACAACGACAAAGGGACGGTTTGTGTATGTGAATTGTGTATGAAAAACATACAGATAATTTTAATATGAGGATATATCTTAAAAAAATATATAATAATTACACAATTACTGCAAAACAAGTACTCCATGTCAATGTTGTTAGCACAGATATATATACATACATATATATATATATATATATATATATATATATATATATATATGTATGTATAAATTATATAGAGCGCGGATATATAAAAGATATATATATATTTGACTGACACTGTAATATCAAGTGCGTACGGGAAGATAATTTATCGAAAGCATTAGATTTTGCGTCGAACAGCTGGATTCAAGTTTTATATAAATTTTTATTTTTCTCAATCTAGTCCAACTGAGATTATAATAAGAAAACACATAGCACTGTTATGTTTTATTAATGATTGCGTTGTGATTACTTTTTGTTCGAAGAATCTAATCGTCCGAGTATTAACTTCTTTTGTGTGTAACTTTGTATTGTCTATACATATAATTAAAAAATCTCTTTTCCGAGAGTAAAACCAATACAAAAGTTTTTGTTTGATTTACGTAATAATAATAATTTTCTGTAGTTCTTTATTTAATTAAATAAAATAAAAGAGAAACGCAACAATTCTTATTCTCGCGTAAGTTATATATATATATACACTATAATACACAAATGTATATCGGTTCTCGTCCTTCTTGCAAGTCCTAAGTATTGATACATTTCTAAGCGTATAACGTAAACGATACAAAAAAGAATAATACTATGTTTTTTATAATCTAAGGATCAACACACAGGCTGCGTCATCGTGAATGTTGTACACATACGCGCACGTTTCTATCGTTATAGTTTTCTTAAGAACGTTCCATATAAAGATATTATATTTAAGGATATAAATTAATTTTAAGGATTACAAAAAATATATATATATCTCTTACAAAACCAAACACCTGAATTTTCAGATAATATGTAAAGTTTTAATCCGTGTTTAACACGACACTCTTATCATCCTGTGATTTGCAAAAAAAACATGTATGATTACATTATACACACATTAAATGTTTCAAATTGCTGTTAAAAATTTCTGATAAATTATAATGTAACGTGTATACACCAATGATACATATATATGTATATATATATATATATGTCATGTATTATCTCTCTAAATGATAATCGTTCTCTAATCTTCCAAGCTCTATTTGATCGTGTAAATAGAAGTCGAAACTTTGCGCGTATATTTCGGTCGAGAGAAGAGTCTCTTAAAAAGAAAGCAATATGTATTACAAAAATGCGGAATAACTTTTGGTACATCGTTTTGAGAGCTGTGTCATATAACCGCATAAAGATGTTGCAAGAGAAATAAAAAACAAAAAGTATATTAGCACACCAAGTGCGTCTCATCATTCATCATCATTAATTATTCCTGTCGTTCTTTAGTGGAACATAGGGCCTCCGAAATCGTCGAACAAAACAGTTCATCGATTCGTAAAGGTTTCATTAATCATTAGATCTCGGATGCACAGGTGATTTTGCTCATAGCATCCAATGTGTGGATTGTAGAGTGTAAGTGGACCTACAAATTTTAGGTAGATTCCGAACCACCAGAAGTGCGCGTGACACTTCGAGCTGGAAATACACTCAATTAATAATTATTGGAGGCCCAATTCAGTTCGTTTTTCAAATCGAACAACTACTAGTTTGAAAGGGAAAAAATTCAAAGGTGTTGAAAGAGCAAATTCAAACTCGGAATCTCCGTGTTCGCAGCCCCTACATATAGGCTGCGAGACCAGTAGGCCGGTCCATCAAAATGCGTGATTCTCGCTTATGACTTGAACACGCAACATACATATAGTTCTGACAGCTAAGCAAATTGCTTTTGTTATTGACGTTTTGTGTTCTGACAGTTCAGTTTGCGTTATTTGACGTTGATGTTATTTAGTTTTTTTTTTTCATGTGTTTTATCGTAAAGAGATGTGTAATATTTTATAAATATGGTTAATGTAGATGAGTGTTCGTGCACCGACACGACGGAACCGTCTAATCTGACATCGTTGCGTTCGGACGATGTTACCGTGAATTCCGACGTGAATGCGCTCTTCGAGAGAGTCGAGAAGGAAAATGACGTTGAAGGATCTAAAGGCATGCGTATCTCAGTTATATATGTCACGAGCTAGAAAGCTCTGTTTCTATCGAAGTTTTTACATCAGATTCCTTAATAATCTGTGTTTTCAAAATGAAAGTCATCATTTTTTTGTTACACCTTAATTTTTGAAATAGGCTGTGCGTCTTAATTTCGTTCATTTTGTTTATTTCAATTTATCCCCTGCAGACAAAAAGTTATAGAAGTAATTTATTAAAGTAATTTATTCATTGTTCACGTACTGTGTGTAGATATAAATTGCGAATGTCCTGAAGCCCCACCGGTCGTGGATTACTGCGTGTCCGCAACGGCAGAAGATCCGTCCGTAATTCCACCGAAGCTGGATCGCCGAGACAACTCGAGGAACGTAACGACGCAATTTCGACCGTGTCTCTGTCGCACTCACAAAATGTAACGCACATTGTTACGTCCGATTTACTTGTTGGTCGATTTATTTCTCAAAGCAGGTTTATCGTTTTAGCAACGGATACGTTCTGCCTGTAAAGTTCAGAGAAGGTACAAAAAAAAAGACGTTGGGGATTAGAGGTTGGATATATTTTTTAATGCGAAATAACGCGAAAAAAATCACGTTCTTCCTCAGATAAACCGCAGTCGCGGCAATTCTGGGGCCGTTTCAGTCTGAAAAGACCAAAGAAGGGATATTTCAACAAGGAGGGCAATATGTACGAGATCAAGTTGAAACAAACTCAGTGTCCTCATTATGCCAAGATGCGTTTGAATGGCGCACCTAAACAGCAGGTTGACGCGGCGATACAACCACCGCAAGCTTTCGTTTGTCGTCAAATGTCAGAAGGAATACCGAATAAGGGTATGAAGGAAGATGCCGCTAAACCAAAACCACCCAAGTATCCGACAAAACCAAAACCGAAAAAGGAAGAAATAATAGCGGAAAAGATCGAGATCTATTATTTCGATCATGGGAGTTGCGAGTATGGTTCAGTTACGCTTTCAGTTATATATACATGAAAAAACAAAAACAAATATGTTTGAAAATATACAGAATATTTGATATTTGATGCTTTCACGGTGTAATATTAATATTCGAAGGTTTTTTGGGCTTGAACCCAGAAAATAAATAAAAAAAAGACACAATGGTATAAAAATGATATTAACGCGGTTCAAATCCAAAAACCATATACGAATATCAATATACAGAATATTTTCAAATATCTCTATTTCTCAATATGCAGCATGTAACTTAGTCTTTACGTTCAAAATATGACGATGATAGTGTCACTAGATAATGAAAGTATAGAATATTTTTTGCAGATATTATCGAACGACAGATTGCCATCCTGTGTTAACCACGGATAGATGTGCCGAAAAGACAGATCAAGCCGCGACACGCTTCTGGGCGGAGATCTTCGGCACAATTCATATTGGCATCGCCTTCGTTACTGCTTTCATCCTGCAGCTTCTTCGCTTTATATTATACAGCGTGATCCGACCCCTCACAGTGGGAATAATACAAATGATAGCAGATTACTTTGTGAAACCACTACTGTCCATTTTGTTCAACGCTCTCATACAGCCGGTGCTGATTCTGCTTTATAACGTTGCCACGTCATTCAGAGATCTTTGCGAACCGATTGCCGAGGCGATGGGTCTTTTTCTACGAGAAATCGCCAATCTCTGCGCTGCGATCCGAATTGTGGAAGTGAAGCACATACACACGCCGACCACTACTGCCTGCACTTGAACTTGTGAAAGACATAACGACGGAATGTGTCGACGACCAAGTTTCGCATGTGCAAGCGAGGAGATAGCGAAGCTGGTGCATCCTATTTCGCGCGAAAGCATGTTGTTGATTTTATCATAAAAAAAACACATGCCTTAACACCAGGGTATATATTTGGTATTGATTTAACTTTACAATATTATTATTGTATTCATTTTTTACAGAACAAAGTACTTCTTATTTAGCAACTAACTTTGTCAATAATAATCAATACTCGTTCTCTGTTGCTCTCTCTTTCTCTCTCTTTCACACACATTCTTTCACTGTTCTTTTCTCGTCTCTTATCCATTCTCGTTTTTCTTTCTCTCCATATATCTTACCATTTAATAAATTATGTACACTCTCACACAAACAACAAACAGAGGAACCTAATTACATCATATAGTGTTGTTCACACTTTACTATGTACAGGTACTACTAGTATCTTTTTTCTTGTTTTTACAGTATAGCCGCGCTCTTACTCTCCTTCGATCTCTCTTTCTTCCTCTCACACATTCTGCTTCACTCATTCTCTTACTCACTCATTTGTTTTCGCTCTCACTCATTCACACACTTAATCATTCTCTCCCTTTTTCTCAATACATATCGGCCGATCGCGTTATAATAAACTCTATATTTTTCGCATACAATCTATAAAAAGAAAAACAGGAGCCGAAAGAAACCAAACAAATGAACAAATCGCCTATCGTCACCTAGTCTCAGGAACTGAAACCTCTGCTCGCTCACTATGACGCATCGCGGCGATCTAAGTGGTACTGGTGGTGGTCGTAGTGGTCGGAGTCTCCTGGATGGCTAAGGTCTGCGAAGGCGCGGATGTCGAGTCACCTGCAAACAAACACAGCGCTGAGAAATCGATAGCATGTATACGAATGTAAATCTCTCTTCGTAGTATTGCCAATTAAATATATAATGCATCGTAATTGGATTTGTCTCTTTATTTGCGCGATTGATTCCCATAAGGGAGCTTCTTGTCGTTTTAACAGTTCTTCCATATTTAATCACCAATTTTTCCATGAAAGTACAAACATTTTGTTTATAAATAGATTTCTCGCTACACAGTCGACCCGAGTTCCATTATTTTAAATCCATCGCGTTCGTTTCGATAAAAAGAGTCGCGCTGATGGGAAAAGCCTTCTAAGACACGTGACTCTATCGATTGTCGGTGGAAATATATTTTCGTCACCCGCAAACGCACAATTCAATCCCGGATCCTTCTCGCTAGTGTTGCGTAATCGAAATCGATCAATACCGCGGAGTCGACGAAAAAGGCCGACTAAAGCTTACCCAGAAGGGCGGCCTCTAGATCTCCCAGAATTTCAGTCTCCTTGGGATCTATAAGGTTGAAGCGTTGATTAAGGAGCGTGAGGTGGGCGAATACACAATTGAGGTGAGCGTGTAACCCCAACAGTGCCACATCCCTGAAATGGCTGTGGTAGATGTGCGCCACCACGTGGTACAATAGCCGCAGAATCTTACGCACTATCGACTCAAACGAGCTAGGAAACTCGTTTGCTGAAACAAATATTAAAAACGACACATTAAAATCGATCTCGGTCTTTGTGATATGATATAAAATAAATAGATATAACAATAATAATAATAATTTGATTTTGACAAACTAAATTGTTGCAAAAACAACTACGTATTAAAACAAAGTCGTAACGTTTGTTAAGTTTATTTAAGTTGCAACATAATTTGTCAGACTCACCATATTTTGTAGGGAATATAGTTTCGTCGCTAACGGTGCGTTGTGTAAATGTCATAACGTAATCTATGTATTGTGGTGCTGCCACCCTCGTTTTCTTCCCCTTCTCATCAAACCACAGATACGTTCTAGAATAACAAATTATTCGTTACAAATAAACGATCGGCTCTGGCCATTTTTCGAATACAAAAAAAACATTGCGATAGAAAATATTTGATATATGTATGTTCGGCAAGTACCTTGAATATTAAATTTCGAAGCCTCATCGGTAAATGTATTAGAAACGTGACGACAATATGTTTCTGTATTTCTGAGAGCAACTCTACAGTACAGATTTAAAATTACGAGACAAATATTCTAAATAAAAAGAGAGCGTTCTCCTGTACTTGTTTTTTCATTACATTTTGTACTTATTATATTATTACTATTTATACTATTATTACTTATATATTATTATTTCTATTAAAAATTCTTAACAACTCAAAGAAATCAAAAAAGCAATCCGTTGTTTTTTCGCGAGAATGGGTAACAGCGCGCACCTTAAGCCGGGTCCGGTCATGTCAGGGCAGCCTGTCATGGTGCAGAACTCGGATATAGTGCCGTAAACGAGATTAATGTGGTCGAACAGTGCGAGAGTATGCGATGCCAGCCACTCATTGTAATCCAGACCGGGCGGTAAATCCACGAGCATCCTCAGGTCCAGCTCCGGCAACTGCCTCTCAAGAGCTGCCTCCTCCAAGTACAATTTTGGATCCTCCGTGGTTCCCGCATCCTTCTCCTTTCGTCTGGCTTTTCTGCAAACAGAAATCGATTGCACGATTAGGTAAAATGCAAAATAAAAAAAACTTGGTCAGCAATCGTGAAAAAAACGGCGAAATAGCAAATCACAAGCGAAATCACGCAGTGTCGCGTGTGTGAGGCGCAACATATATATATAAATAAAGTAACAGCACAGCCTCGTGTGTGTGCAGAGGTGTATGTGTGTGTGTGTGTGTGTAAAAGAGAGAAAGAGAGAGAGAGAGAGATTAGTGGTTCGAAATCAAAATGAACGCTTGAGAGGATTTTCTTCTTTATGAACTTTTATTGTGAAAAAAAGTAAAGAGAGTGAGAGAATCTGCAACAGAAAGGAAATACACACACAGTTTGTGTCGAGAACAACTTGTACAACTTACTTTATAACAAAGAGAGAAAAAGAGAGAGAGAAGAGAAACGAAAATGTTTGAAAACCGAGATAGAGCAGCATTTACAGCGCAGTGACGATACATATCGAACCGTTTATCGGTGTTGTTCGTTAAAAACGAGTTCTCCGGAAAATAATCAGTAAAAGTGTGTCGATAGACGCTAATTGCGGTCTTTAGATTGACCGGAACAGGCCGAACAGGCCGAACAGTGCGAGAGAGAGAGAGAGAGAGAGAGAGAGAGAGAGAGAGAGAGAAAGAAAGAGAGAGAGAGAGCTTCAATCGACTGGCGCGAATTCATTAATCCGATTCAACGAATTATCGGATTTGCACGATTACCCCCGATGCTTCTCGATTTTATTCAATTTGTCTTTAATCTATCAGCGCGAGCGCGTTGTTTCTCGCGTAAACGTTCACGAGAACAAACAAATCAAACTTCTCTTACACGTGCGAGAAAAAAACGCCGGAAAACATTTCCAGACCCACTCGATTAGAAAATAACTTTTTTTGATAACAAATAACAGTCACGAGATAAACGTAGCTCGGCTGCGTTTCATCGATAAAAACAGGAAGTGACTATGAAAAGCGATTGTTACAACGCACTGTTACTCGTGCGCGCGTGTACCTTCATGTAAATTTTGTTTAACATATTAACATAATAGCGATAATATATAATACTTTGCATGACAATATAAAGCATCACCATTTTGCATACATATTATGTATACCATACACACAGGATGTTTTGTCGCTTGTAAAACAAAAACAAAAAAAAAACATTTTAATCAACATTTTTTTTATTGATCTCAGAGTTTTCTATGAAGCGAGCACGAGAAGTGCTTGACATTATAAACATATGACGCGACGAAAAGTACGGTGACTTGATTATTGATCGACGATCAACTTTTCCATGAAAAGAAAAAACATCCGCTCCAAATAAATAATCAGATAATTAAAAAATCTTGCTCAAATCAAAGCATCTTGTGCATATTTATAACGAGATATATGTTCAACACAGAAAGAAAAATCCATCCGGGGTTTTTAATAAACGTGTGTCGAACTAAACATAAATACACACTTTGGTTCCGCGGAAACTCTGTTTTCGGTGTGTCTTCGCAGCAGCCGCCGTCGCACATTTAGTTTTTTGCCAGTTGGGAAATGCAATTACATGCAATAACGATAGCAGAGCGAGTTTTGTTTGTCAGCCATGTCTACACGACTCAAAGCGTTCATATCTCTCTCTAAAAAAGCGCATGCTCCTGGAAAGAAGCTGCATCCCCGCATATATATATATATGTATAAACAAAGTTTGTGTGTCAACACACGTCAAATATTCAGATTCACGTCTACGTATACACAACATTTGTATTTAATTGTGTGTTTGTATGTTTTCATACAACAATGTTATTTATAAGTTGCTTTATTTATATCATACAAGAGAATTTTCTTATGCCGGGTGCTCGATTCTTTCGATTTTCATCCGCATCTCGAACGAGAGATATGCTTGAGAAATTAACATCGCGACACATTTTCGCATTGTGTGTGGCACGCACGCATATCACATACACGGGTGTCTATTCAACCTTGGAACGACATTTCCTGAAAATTCCAGGTTTTCTACGTTTCTCCAGGTGATAGACACACTCTGACACACATATCTACACGTTCGAAGCGAAAGTATCAATCTCTGAACACGCGTAGTTATTGAAAAATTCTTCTGGCGTTACAGTTTCGTAAGTAAGAGTGAATCACTATTCGTCATCTGAGTGCTGAGGTGTTCTGTGTCCTTACATGTGTTCTCACAAAACACAGAACACTCTCGGACACTCGAGCGACGATTTATGTTAAGAGATCGATGCTTTTGCTTTACGGGGAGGGAACTCACGCGACTAGCTCGCCGAAGAGCCGGATCTTCCTGTGGCAGGTGTCGAGCAGGGAGAGACGCGAGGAGGAGGCGCTGCCCGTGCTGCCGGAACCACCGGTGCCGGCACCGCCGACGCCGTGATGCACCGGCGTCGGAGGTGCCGAGACGGTGGTAGTGGCCGAGGACGCTGCCACCGCGGTCGCCGCCGCCGCTGCGGCGGCCGCAGAAGCGGAAGCGGACGTAGGCTCCCGCAGGACGGCGACGGCGCCGCGTGCCGGCGAGCGCAGCATCGTCGACGTCGTTGTCGTCGTCGTGATCGTCGTGGTCGAAGACGACCTCCTCGGCGCGCCGCCCTCGTGCCCGAGGATCCGCTCACGCACGCTGGGTAGGCACCAAATCTTGTTCGCTTCGCATTGAACCACGGCCAGGAACGATCGTCCGGACAATCCTGTCGGGAGAGATTTTACGCCTGGAAAAGTCCTTCGAACCGAACGATCCTGGTCTTGACGTCAAGGACGGAATATTTCAGAAGACGTTCCGCGACGTAGCGGCGCCTCAAAGAATTCTCTTCCGATTTCTTTGATACACTGTTCAGATGACAATAGAAAACGGATTGCTCGCGTTAATGTTTATTCTTCTATCATTTGTCTTCTACTAATTTTCTTTTTTACTCTTCATAAAGAAAAAACTTTTTGTTCTTTGCTACTCGCGTTTCTCAAGTTTGCTTGCTTCTTGTATCTTGATTTTTCTGGCACAGTGATATTTGTCCTTCTATTCCACATGCTCTGCAAGACCGAGAAGCAGTTGCTTAGTATTCGTGCGTCTCATTCGCTCCTTATGTAAGTCCTACTTTCTTTTTCTAGCAATAAAATTTATTACGTACTAAAGAATGTGCGGGACTGTCGTTCTCGTGCTTCTCACGAACGTGCGCTTCTCTTGCAGATGCTGCGACTTCTCTAATAACTTCAGAATACTTCCGAAAGTATCCATCTGCGTAGACTTCTCCTCGAGCGATTTTCCTCGGGACCGATTTCTTTGAGTTAAAAGTAGTTTAGCCGGAGAAATTTCGAGCTCTCTCGATTGCCATTTCCTTTCGTATTTATCAGATGCGAGAACGATTCGTGAGCGGCGTAACAACGATGATAATTGATCGAATCGATTACTTGGAAAGGGATATCTCGCGGGGAAGACGGCGGAAGCTGCGGAAGACACTTCTTGGAAGACAATCGGTCGTCTCGTTTATAAAAACAAGCGTGTAAGATCGGTCGTCGTCGTCGATCTGGAGCAAAATTCGAGCGTTCGCGTTTCGTCAAGTAAATTTCATATATATAGAGATAAAATTCCAGTAATATAGTATACATGCGAAAATTAAAGCCGGATATAGCTTCAAACTTGCATCCGTGCAATGCACTACAACAATACATGTACTCGTGGCAAATAAAAAAGTATTAATTTATATTATTTATTAAAATATTAATTGTAACCCTTAGGGGGTTTAAAATAAATCTAATCTAAATCTATTAAAGTATTAATTTATGTTATTAATTTCTCTCGCGTGTGTAAGCTCTAGAGGAATCTACGTTCCAGGATGTCGATACATTGCATTTTCTCTCTTACCCCCTCCTCTCATTTTTCTTTCTTTTTTTTTTTTTTTTAACTTTCTTTCGTTCTCGGCGACTCGCCGCGCGATTCTCCAGAAAAATTCGGGCAATATGCGCCGTTGCTGGCGCGACGCCAATTCTCTCGTGTCGCGAACTATCGGCCGCGAGTTTGTCGCTTCGGTGTCTTTCAGGAACTAGGTTATCGCGTACATACACGTAGCGTTCATGTAACATCAGGAAGAAAAATACGTACGTCGGAAGTGGGGATCACAGCGATCTCCGTCTCGGCCAAAATAGAATTGATGACCGTACCTCGTGACGAATTTCTCGAGCAAAGATAACATTTAAATTTCTGCCCGCGAACTCGCGAGTTTCTTGCCCGTGAAATTATTGTGTGCAGTAAAAAAGACAACAAAGTCGTTGCAAATTCCAAAAAATTCTTTTTAACCAGAGAAACAATCTTAGTAACAGTAACGCGATAAAAACAAAGTTACAACATAAAATATTATTTTGGATTAAAAAAAATATTTTACTATATAAAATTTATTAAAATAAATATTATTACTAAATAAGAAATCCTACATTTGCATGATTTTATTCTAACGTTCAATTTGCGCTTTGGCTTTGTGTTTTTCAAGTTTGTTTTATTGCGAAAGTTTGCGTATACATTTGATTCCGTAAACGTTAGTTTCTATGACGAGTTACCAAAGCAGAAGTAAAAGCACAAGCTACGTATATAGAATGAGAAACTCTCGTAACACGCACCAAGCGGATTAGAAGAGATTTTCGTTTCCCGAAACTAAATGCGTTCGTTTCCATTTTCTTTTCTCGAGCTGCTCGATAATCTGCGGTTTCAAACAGTGTGCGCGATGGACCTCGAAAGTGTTCGACTTATATATAATATGTTATTAAACTTTTCTTTATATTTGCAAATTTTACCCGTGAATTCTTTCATCACTTTGAAATCTTTCTCTGTAGCAAAAAAAACTCGACTCTATATTTATAGGTTTTCGCGCAAAATGTGTGCTTAAAAGGTCATGTCACTAAGAATTTCCGAAAATTTATAGGTCAAGCCGTCGACGCAATCAATTGCACTATACACTTTCAAACGAAATTTACACTCGGTTGGTCATCCGACGAAAATAACGTCA